ATAAACTGGTGTTTACAAGAAATGCATGCCATTTTTACAGGCACGAATAGTTATGCTATTGGTTACAATCGTGGAGTATCATTAATTGATACTTTTTCGACAGTTTAAATTGTTCGATTATTGTACAAACAATCAGAACAAGTTCTTGCAAATGTTAAATCGAAAACCCTTCACCAAGGACACCATCAAAGTTGAGCGACAACCCAAACTTCATTTGGTTTCCTAATGATAGTTATGGCCAGTCGACATATAATTGAGTGAGTGCTATGCTCCGCACGTGACTGAATGCTATTTCAGGAAGATAAGAACGTCCCGGGAAACCGCAAAATGGAATAAAATACAATTATGGATAATACATCATTGGAAGTACATTTAAAAGATATATACAAGAAGAAGATGGAGACTGCTTGGAATGATAGTATACATTTGCGATGTTTAAAGCTTACCATATTGGTCTAAGAATGAAAACTAAAACGTATTCGTTGAAAATACAGCACTGTTCAAACATTGGCGTTGTCGTGGTTTTTTCACCAAAGCTAGCAGACTTTAAGCAAGCAACAAATATGAACAAAGAGTAAGTTACAATTCTAATAAAGGCTCATGTAATTAAAGTGAAACAGAGTATAATAGTAAGTAGGTAAAAAGATTATTGTGAGGTGCATTAGTGACATTTCAGTGAGAAGTGAATTCAAAGATCTGCAGATTAGAACCCGTAGGACAAGCTAAATGATAAGATGTCTCACGAATTTGTGTAGGATCCATGGAGTAGCACCTTGACAAGGAGCTGAACAAGCTTGTGGGTGATAGAATCAAAGGCATTTTTAAAATTTAGCTCTGTGCGACCCTTATTTTTTGTTAGGGACCTAGACCAATATTTTAATTTTCGAGTTGTCCAAAATGCATACTGATGTCCTAAAGATCGGAGCCATTCATATTTCCGACCAATGCCAAATCTGCTGATCAGTATGCCTTCAAGGCTTTATGACGTCTTGAGCGTTTCTTTTTTGTTTCGCTCTGTGCCACACACTTGCTCCCAACAGATATAGATGTCGTATGATGCCCACTTGATTTTGCCTGTGCCGTTTCACTGATAGACTGTGACAATGTAGGCAGAGTATCAGAACTGGGAGATATAGACGGGTCTTTAGAATCGGTATGTAAGATGCGGTTGATGTTCCTGGGTTTCTGCCTCCCCTGGATGAAACCTTTGTAAGGCTACTTTCAATCGCCATATTAACAATTACCATAACATGCTTATATATGAATAAGAGATAACAACACTACATGCCAAATAGAATAAGAATAAAAATATTGATAAAGTACGAGATAAAGAAAATGAAGGGTTTCGACTTCACCTGGCAATTTTCGGTTACTCGGCTTCACAGTAACCACGTGGTAGACCAAAATGTTTTGTTTATCTTAATGAGTGAGGATAATGCTGCTACTGATGCAGCACCTGAAGTTTTGGCAGTAGTTGGACAGTTGGACTTACCACACAAAGATCCACCAGCTAGGAACATCAGGTTTACGAAGCGGATAATTCACAAAATAAGTGTTTTCCGGTTAGAGAGGAGAAGGGCGAGGGTATAGGCTATGATGGTTTAATTTCTCCGCGCCTCAGGTTTTCCCGTCTTTCATTGGCTGGAACAGTGGTGGCTAATTTGATATTTAATTTGTCCTTGTTAGGTGATGTCGTTGCAGGTTTGTGTGCTTGAGGTATGCGTTGTTTACAAGCATATTTGATGAAAATAAATGTAAAATTTGAGTATTCTAACGTTTTCTTTTACTTATTTGGGCATGTACAAGGCTTGGCTTATCATACACTCGGTTTATTGGCCTATCGGTTGCTGGCGATGTCAAGGAACCCGTGAGTTCTTTGACTTTTCTCGATTTTAGGTTTTACGTGTAGCATTTTATCGGTGGATATTGCTCAGTGATGTATTTCAATGTTGCTTTTTCTACGGAATTATGTTGAAACAGTCGTGAGACAGATGGATACTAATTGACGAAGCCTTTTTAGTTTATTGCAGGTAGCCAATGCGAGTGAGAGCATTATTTATCCTGTAATATTGTGTGCATAATTCTATTTTTGCTTACTCTTTCACCTTTTGTAGTTAATAATGTGCTGCATAAGTGTCAACGATGGACATGGTCTCGCAACTCGTGCGCATCTGAAAGCGGGAGAAGTAATCGCACAAATGGACCATTTTCTTAATATGTAAACAAACTAATGTTGTATTATATTTCTTCAAAATGATGACTTTTATATTAGTAATTCGTCTAGGCTATCATGACAATTTTACGCATTACTACGAACACAACACACACAAATATTGCATTTTTCGGCTACAGAAGCCTAAAACTAGTTAAATAGAATCTATTTTCACAATACTGAGTGGTTAGAACGTCTCTATAGGCGTGAACGCGATAACCCATGCAATGCGCGAAAACACCTTATCATAGAACATAGCCTCACTCAGAGGAGAAAGCACGTCGTATTCAAGAAGCGCGCGTAAAATGAGCCTTATCTTCTCATCCTAGCTGGCAGAGGATAGCGGCACAAATCAGCTGATTGCTGCAGTTTGTAAGGTGTTATCGTGGTGTTGTGTTTGGGCTATTCTACGTTGTTTTTAGTGGTTTTTTCGACAGAAATACGGTTTACATACCGTATTTTAACGAAAAATCGTGTAAAACTTGAGAATAACGGTCGTTTTCAGTGTGTTTAAAGATGCTGTCCTTTCATCGAATTGACATGCTGAGGCGCATAAGAAATGTCAGAATTCGTCGGAAAATGTCAATTATGATAGAAAATGCTAAATAATTCCAATTTTTTAGTGTATTTTACTTAAATGATGAGGAGATGTTTAAATATCGAGGTAGGTATGATTTCATGATCTTTACCAAATCTCACAGTAAGAAAGGAAACTGAGTTGCTTATTTCGTCAGATAACGGTGAAGAGGCAGTCGTTTAACTGGTAGGTACTATGTTTTAAGTTATTTATATAACTCACCATTTTCTCACTAAATTTTTATCATCTTTAATTTCCAGATTATGGTCTTTACTTCCTCAATCACTCAATACATTTAGACATTCTAATGGGATTAAAAAGGATAATATTTGTGTAAATGATGAAATATTTGTGATATTACGAATGTATTTATCGAAATAAATATTGTTTTGAAAATTTTTCACTCCATTCATACACTATTAATACTTACTGTTTGTGGAGTAGCGAAGTGATGCCAGTGTAGAAGACGTAATATTCGTAAAATGTCATATTTACACGTGGTTGAATTTGGTCACGATGGGGTACTGCTATTGCTTTTGAGTAATTGCTTTCGCTAGGAAACCTTAAACAGGCGATATGCACAACAAAAGCCTATCTAATGTGTTACCGTATTTTATGATAACGAAATAATCAATGAAGTTTAGTGACGTAGTCAACTAATGCACGAGTCTAAGCATTGATGTGATCATGTAAGAGCTTATTGATAGGAAATGATAACACAAGAAGAATAATGTAGTTATCTCTTTATTACCTAATGATTTCCTTTGAGATAGTGGTGTTAAACGCAACATAAGAATAACAGACTATTTGTGATAAATAGGATGTGCGTTGCAGAGTGTACTTGAAGTGCCTAGACTACCAATACAAGTCGTGTACGTATAGAACCTACGTTTGCTAGGTTATGTTTCGTTATCACAGTACGAACATATTTTTTACGGCCACTTTCTTAACAATCGTGAATAATAATATTATACGCAACCGGGCTAAACGTAACTGAAACACTTTACGTAAGGCTTAATGACGCATTGAGGAAATAATAACAGTTTAAGACTGACGCATTTCACATAAGTATTACTACGTTGCCTTTCATTCTCGTTAACTCTGCAATGTCCTCAACATGATAGGTAAAAGAGACAAAGTTAGTCGACATAAATGCATATATTTGCAAGGAAACAACAATCAATGAAGTTAAAAATAAATCAGAATCAAAGAGTACATATCTACACTAAAAAGAGTGAATAACAATCCAGTGAAAAAAATCACAGTTGTAGAGTTTTTATAGCTGCATCATAGCTATGGTGACTAGTCATCATAAGTTCACCAAACACTCTGTCCGCAACATCTGTATCAGTTTGTACCCGTTGGTAGTGATGTTCGACCAGTCTGCAGTTTTCGTCACCACCAGATCCGTTCGGAGAAACTGGATGAGAACTTTTCAAGCAAAGATTGACATTGTGTTCCTTCGACCGTATTGAGAAATATCTGAGGATGGATACATATCACATAAATTTATCTTACCTCTGGTGAACAATTCCTTATCTTAGCTACACTGAATATGTGAACAAGGGAGGGAACAATCACAGAGTTGGAGAAATTCCATAGATTAGTCTTCTATATATTCCACGATAGATTTCAGGAATTGTGTAACTTCCAAATCACCTGTCACATTTTCTCTTCTGTAAAAAGCAAATATTATACAAGTGACTCTTATCTATCCGTTACAACCAACTGAAAGAGATAAAATCTTCAAACTTTATACTTCTTTGATTAAGTTAGCCAGGAATATTCTCCTCGTGAGTGGATCAAATGCTTATTACATCTGTGAAATTTATACACATGTTAACTTGTTCCCTTAGGCTAAAAAATATAATGTCTATTCGCTTTTATTATTGTTATTTCAAAGCCCGCCTCAGTAACGTACGACACGTATTAGCCGCAACGTTTACGCAAAGGAAAGTCTACCAATCACAGTGTGCGTAAGTGACCTTCAAGTGCTCAGCCTCTCCGTAAGCCATTTGTGCCGCTATCCTCTGTCATCCTAGCTTCCACATAGAATTCAAATTTATTTTCACATTTTTTCTTATAAACGGAGAACAAAACTGTTCTTCGTCATTAAAAAAGAGTGTGAGTCGAATGACGGATATATAAGTACCAATGGTAAGCATTTTGAATATTGAACTCAAACGGAAATACCTGGCAGTCAGGAGCGCGCTGGAATCGCGTTTAGCTTTTAATGACAAATGTGATTTCACTCTATCGCTCAGTGTTCCTGTTTACATTATACTGTGAGAACGCCATTAGATAAAGTGCACCACTTACAATGGCATTTGAAACGTGTTTGATTACTTAACGTTTTTCCCAGATTTGAAACCTGAAAGTTAAATAACTTTCGGTATAACCCAGCTAGAATTTTCTTCGGGGGTATTTCACAATCTCCGGGGAAAAAACTTCGGGCGCACTGCAGAAAGTGGGGCATTGATATACAGTGCACACCAAAGATTTTGCAGTGCGCTTGAAGTGAATGCTAGCTTGGAAGTACTATATATATATATCGTTTTAGTTAAGAAATAAGTGTACTCTTGTAGAAGTATGCGCCTATTTTAGTCGGTCAGCTTGAAGGTGTCTTGCTTTGCAAGATCTTTGTGTAGTTCAGTGTATTTTTGACATGTATTTATTTGCGCTCTTGGCTATTGTCTTTTAACCCAATATCATGTTTTGCTGCTGAGTCTTTCTTGTCGTATTACATTTGTGACGATCAATTACCTTTGTTTCTCTAGTCTTCCAGAAAAAGTCTTAATGACATTTAGACGACACTTATCGTTTTACTACATATTTTCACTTTTTCTGCACACATTTGTATCATATATCTCACTAGCTTCAGCTAGTGAAACTGATAAAAAGATAAATTTTAAGGCAAAAAGTAACTGCCTCAGGGGCTTTTTGATCTCAGCTAGCATTGACTTCGGGCACACCACAGAATGTTTCGGGCGCACTGCGGAATCTTTCGTGCAGACTGCAGATCACTGTCCCACGTTCTGCAATCCATCCGAAGAAAGTGCTGGCTGGGATGCCTATTAGCGAACTGCTAGATTTTACAAAAGGATTTTAAGGATGAAAATGTAATTATGTTCGGCAATCAGTTGCACTGTAATCACGAATGATGGTCAGTCTACGTTTTTTTAAATTGAGTTTTAGAATTTTGGATTAATAATAATTTCAATGTCAATTTAACCGTTTTCTGTTAGCTAAACCATGAATAACACATTAAAATTTATTAAAGTTGACAAAGTTATTTTCTTCTAGGTTCGGGTTCAGATTTGTAAGTTGGAGGGGAAAAATTTCACCCATGGTCAAACTCAATGAGATGTATTGGCTTATTGAGGGTGAATCAGAGAGATACCACAGGTCAGACAGACTAAAACATAGTACTGCTGCCCTGAATCAAGTGGAAAATTTTACTGTAGATGCTTACAAACAGTCGTTTAGGATATTTCTTGAAAAAATTCCTCGAAATAGTTCAAACTGATTCTGATCTATTCTCTTAGTACTGCCTTCAAAATTTCGATTGCCTTCTGTAATCTCATTCATTAAATAATTCTGTCCCATTCACGTTTTTGAACCATATTATCACATGTGTCTTTTTGTGTGCTGTTTTGATGTTTGCCACTGAGCCGATTCACTTATGCACAGTTCTTACTATAGTCCATCACTCAATTATTTATTAAGGGTGGTTCTAAAGACGTTTTTGAACCGTATTTCCAAGCCAAGTTTGAGAATGAAGCATGTTGCAGGTGTTTGATTATTTGGAGAAAGAAATATTTGAGACCAGGGACTAGAAGTTGAGAGTTGTTAGTCCATCAATAAGATAGTAAGTAACTGTGATAGGTTAAAATATTATGGCATGAAATTTATTCGAATGGTGCAAAAAGCTAGTGCTGCGGCAGCTTAAGACGTTTTCATACACAACTAACGACTAATACCAGCATGCATTCCTCTATTCATGACTAGCAATCAAACATTTTGGATATATCTCTTAAGGTTGTTTGGGTGATTATTTTTTTCATATCATTTTAACTCCATCTTTGATAGATCTCTACTATGTTCTACTTTGTTATGTTAATTTTCGTTAAATTCATATCTGAAATAAAGCAGATAAAAGGGCTTGTTAAGACTTCTAATAAGAGGTTGTTCTAAAAGACAATCGAAGGATTGTAGCATCTCTTTTTATTAAAAATAGAGACTAACTTTGTCGTTAGTAGATTTGGTACATCCTGTTTCAAAACTCTCCTGGTTATTTAAGCGCTAGCCACTCCATCATTCAGTGTATGAAACTAATCTAATGGGAACTTCAGCCCTCATATTTAGAACGGATTCTACTTAAATTAACCAATTTTAAAAGGTCATACTAGAACAACTAACTTCATAAGTCATGTAGCAGCTTAATTTTGGAATTCTGTTTAATTCTTTTTTATTTCATTACCTTAAACAAAAGTTTCAACCAAATATTTTTCATTATTTTGTTAGGAAAAAATATGACCTCATCAAAGGGAAAGTGCAAAACCCCATTTTCTGAATTGGTTTCTAATTTTGAAGGTCGTTCGTTATATATCTCTAGATTAATCGCCCAAAGTTCTGCCAGAAACAATTTGGATGATCATCACAATCTGGAAACAATCTTTTCAAATCTCGTAACACAATGGCGTTTAATTATGTTTAAAACGAGAGATACAACTCTGAGCCATGCTTTAACAGATTTCCTCAATGACTGTGCTAGTAATACGACTAAGGCGTTTTCACTTCTTGAAATACATTTAAAACCATCGAGTAATTCCACTATTCTGCTGCTACTAAAGAAGTTAATGATGCGTCTAGTTTACATGTAAGTCATACAATATAGATTTGACGTTGTAGTATTGCCTACTACTGGTGGAATGCGGATGTAAGTGATGTTGTACTGAAAAAGAGTTTCAAAGTAACCAACAATGATCACCATCTCAGATGACATGGATATGTGTTATGCATATTTACACATCGCCTGTCTAGGCAAGCCATACTATCCAACGTCAGAATGGATTTTGAGATAGTGGAACGTAGTTAAACTTTTCCATAGAGCCAATGGATCTTGGTCTGAACTTTGTGTGGAAATGTGGAATTGTTGATTAAGATTCACTTGAACATAAGTCTACAGAGTCGAGGATATATGACGCAGAAGCTATCGCAAAAGCACATCGACGTCTGTGCTATAATTTTATCTCAAATATAATGTGCGCAACTTTAGCACTGTGGTAGTATATTATTCTATATCAGTTTTTATCATGCAGATCACACAGTAAAACAGTATTATTTACTGGATGACGCTTTGAGTACGACTAACTGAATACAATCATATCAACTGTGACTACAGAACTCGAGTTTTATAATCCTCATCTTTCTTTCACATTTTTCATTAAGGTAATAGAATTTTCCAGATGTCTCGGGCGGGTGTTGAATCATTCCCGCGGAGTGTTCTCAGTTGAATGAATGAAGAAATATTTCGTGAATTTTCCTCCTCACTCCGTTATACTAGATTATAGGACCGTCACTTTGTGCCATCCTATTGCGCGCTTATTTGTAAATGCGTGTAGTGCCGTAGCTGGGAATATTTAGGTTTTTTATATTAAAACAGAGTTCACCAATTTATTGTGCTTTGCTAATCTAACTGTTCCTATGTATTCCAGTCTACATTAACTGCATAGTATCAGATAAAATAAAGGATACTTTAACCGAAATGATTTGTTTCCATGAGAATTCTTGAATTTGAATGCCACTTTTGTTATTGCTTATATAAGAATCCTGTCTACAGTTTCAGTATGTTGTAGCACTACGAAGGTTTTACATTTTTTCTCGTGTACGTGCTTTTAACACTTATGTCACGCTTATTGGTCGTTCTATTGTTACTTTAATAATCTCAGGTATACTTTTGGGCAAATTTATCAGGGTAATTACTGATTGTCAAGACTAATCTTACCCGTTATACTTCCTGTCGTGGATTCTGTTTTATACTGTCTAACTGTTTCGCCGCAACACCTAAACATATCACTAGTCCAGTTTTCACCGACATATACCCGGATGACTTTAAGTCCAGGTATCAGGTTGATTGTGTTATTTTACGGTGAAACTTAATCCTTAAATTATGATGTTATCTTTGCTTTGTTACACAACTTAACATCGAAAACTCTTCTTCTTAACTTTCTCATTCAAAAGTGAACTAAATTGCTTCTGCTACTGAATTTATATGCTTGGAAAATTTATGTTAATCTCCAATTTTTATTCCTGTAAATTCACCATCTGCATTCAGCCGCCATGCTTTGAGGGTGAGGTTGAACGCTCTAAATAGTGTAAACGTATAGCTGTATTCCCACCATGATGTCTTCTATCGGTACTTTGGTTATTGGTCAGAGTTAACTTTGTCCCTAATAGCTTCTAGAATCATGTTTATTTGCATTTGTGTGCACAAGTTGGGGATTTCTGAAATGACCATGTTTATCGTGATCTTCAGATTTCAGAAAACATAGTTTCAGAGTCAATTTATAAGAACTAAAAAGTTTGAATTCCGGACTGTTTTTAAAGGGAACTATTTCCATAGCTAAATATTTACTTAGTTCGTAAGTTGGTTTGTGTCTAAAATTAATTGTGGACTCAGTGGACAGTATTACAAGCAAAGTTTAGAAAATTAATTTACTTTTCATTTTGGTAGCTAGTGACTTGCTACAGGACGGAGTTTCCTGGAGTTCTAGTGAGAAGTCGTGACCAGTGAGGTCCTTTCAGTCAAGTGTGAGGATGCATTTCCCACCGATGACATTGATTGGTGGTCGCGCTTTATCACGAATTGGTAGAAGTTAGAATTCATGTGCTGGCCATTGAATCGAGCCCCAGTGGCTGAATAGTATGCGGACTTGCCTTATAACCGGAAGGTTCTAGGTGCGTACTGTCGATGATTCCCAGAATAATATGAAACAGCTATCCAGTACTTCAGTGCTGATTTCCAATGGTTCTCTAACTGATATCAATCCGTGGTCAAACTCGTAAAAAAAAGGAAACTATTCATTGAAAAGTTATTGTAGGTTTTATTTTCAGGTATTCTAACTTGTTTACTTTTCATTTTACAATAAACTCTTGCCGTTTTACCTTGACAGGCGTCTGTCTGACCTAAACACAATTACATTCGCTTACTATACTTATTCAACTTTTTCTTATTGCACTAGTCTGTAAATGTGAGTCATTTTCTGGTGAAAATTGATTTTTTTTGTTTCAATTGTTTATTCTGTAGATTGTAGCAGCTAGTTACTGTTCTTGTTTTTTTTCTTTCTATTCCCATATTTATTTATTATACTTTGATGATTTTTCAAAGGTTTGAAGAACTTTGTTCTGTATTTCCTAACGGTGTTCCAATAAGTGAAGAATATCATTTCGTGAGACAGGAAACAGGAATTTGGTGGGATACAGTATTTGGGAAAAAGTAAGTAATTATTCATTATTCATATGATACATACATAGAGTGACATATGGTATTTATTATTACTTGCTGCTGCAGGATTGGATTACACCGACCCCTAGATTAGAAATAGGAAGTAAAGTGGTAGAGCACGTTGACCGCTTCACTTACTTGGGAAGTACCATCAGCCCCAACGAGTTGATCTCCGACGAAATCTCAGCACGAATACAGAGGGCTAGTTTCGCATATGTCAGTTTACGCCGTCTCTGGCGTAGACGTGATATCCGACTATAGACCAAAGGGCGTGTGTACTGCTCAACAGTCCGCTCCGTCCTCCTTTATGGCTGTGAGACCTGGCCATTGAGAGTGGAAGAGATGAAAAGATTAGCTGTCTTCGATAATAGGTGTCTGCCTTCTATCTCCCGCGTGAAGTGGTAAAATAAGGTGAGCAATATTGAGGTTAGGCTTCGATCGAGTGCTAGGTAAGGAGAGGAAATCAATCGACGAGACTGTGAAATTACATTGACTGAGATTGTTAGGAGATGTGTTAAGTATGGTTAGTCATCGCCTTCCTCGACGGGCAATGTTAGCTAACATATGATCAGGTTGGAAAAGAGCTAGCGGCGGTCAAACCAAAACATGGCACCAGTCAATGAAATCCACAACAGTTAGTCTAAGCCACGTAGGAACGTGTAGACTTCCTGGTTGGGGTCCTCGGGACGGTAAAAACCAATGGTTGGAAACAATTGGTGACATGGCTCAAAATCGTTCTCAATGGCAGGTGCAGATGCATCCACTCCTTGTCACTCATAATTTCCAATGAAACTAAATTGTTTTTCGTTGTTACTATTCCTTTGTCTCACACCTCTGTTTACTGTCTATATTATGCATTTCTCCTACTTTGTTCTCTTGCTTTGTGTGCTACATAAAAGTGTGGCGACTTGAACTGCCGCACATATGTGCAAAGATCTATGTCGAAAACCAACCAACCGACCGACCGACTTGCTACTGTCGATAAAATTGTTTGTTTCTTTTCTAGATATTCTGTTTCATGGAATGGATTTCTACAAGCATTTACTGGTGAATTTGGTATCACAGATAGTCATATGCATCAACCACTACGTGATACATTCAGTTTCGCATCAGAGGATTATGTATCTGTTTATGCTTTGGATATATTTTCCAGGTATAGAAGCTGTTATGTAATAATTTTATTTAGTATACTTATTTTACTGTTTACTATGTAGTATGGGATGCTGACATCATTAGTGATAAAGGCACTTATATATTCTTTTATGATTATTTGCATTTTAGGTGTGTTAATCATGCTGCCTAAAATGTGACTGGGTTAAACTAGGTGACCTAGAGTTACTAGAATATCGATTGTATGTTTCAGATGCAACTTTCATGTTAGTTAATTGTCTAACAAACCGAGCAGTAGCAATAAGTAGCACTAGAAAAGACCTAAATGATAAAATGAAACCAATAGAAGAGATGTTGGTGTTAAATAACTAACTATCCTATAAAAATGATTATGAAGATCAAAAAAGGTCATAAGCAAAATAAAAATAATGGTGAAACTAATGATGATTACATACTCAAGAAAGAATATTAGGCATCTGAAGTAGTTTTAGCATATAAGGAGGGGATATCTGAGGCCCTACGTAGGAATTAGAGTGGTATTCAGACCTACAAACTCACTCAGGGACAAGCTCTGTAGGTTAAGGGACCCTGAAGGTCGACCAAATTAAACAAAATAATATAATTTACAAAATACCTTATAATAACTGTGAGTTAAGTCAACTACATAGGTCAAAGTAGTAGATCAGGAGTAGTGAAATTGCCTGTCAGAACATAAGAATTTAGCTAAGGTTAGAATGACTAATCCCACGGAGATAAGTAATTTAGAAAAAAACAACTCAGAAATAGCACTGCATTCATTAACACACAACCACACAATAGGGTGGGTGGGACGGAGTCAGAATTCTAAAGAGTAATATAGGTAGGTGGAGAGTGAGAGAGGGTGATTACTGGATCCTGGTTCATTGAATCTACACCCAACACATGCAACAGAAATGACTCAAAGCAAATACCAGAGATATGAAAGATACTATTACCAGTCAAATCAGAGGAGGATAATAAATAATCTGAAACTTCCATTTCAATTCAAGCACATCACAACATTCTAAAAAGTTACTTATTATGACTATAAAAACACTCGTCTTATTTTCCATCTGATTGTAACTGATCAATAACACTCATATTATTATTTCTGAATGTACATTATCTTATATTGATTTTTTTTCAAATGTCTATTCAATTCCACTGATATATATGAATGAAGGAAGAAAGTTGTGTGAGTGACTTGATGTGATTATGAGCAGTAACAAATTGTGCTCGAAATGTGGTCATCAGTAAATATTATTGTACAAGACTGTGTGATTTATCACACAATATTGATGTTTTTTAAATACTAACGATTTGTTAATTAAGATCAATAGAATTACAGTTCACGAAAGATGCACAAATTCTAATAAGCATCAAAATATAATAGCAAATAGAATATCAAATAAAATTAAGGAAAATTCCACAACAAATTCAGGATCATTAGAACCTTGATGGCCAGCGGGGTAAGGGAAGTGTCTGAACCAACCAGCTTCTGTTGGATACATAAGTAAGGTTTCTTAATGTGGATCCCAGCGGCCAGTCTCAGCAATATGTAGTACACGAACTCTTAAGGGGAAGTTAAGATTAGTTGGTATGCGGTAGATGGCTTTGAAAGCCGCTTCGTTAACATCAATCTTGTGTTTTATATCCACAAGATGAGATAGAATAGCTCTGCGAATGTATTTTGTTTGTCCTTTACTTAACCAATACAGCAGGATGATTTTTGGAAATCCGACGAGAAACACGCCTAATTGTACAGCTTATGTAACTGGCTCCACAGGGGCAGTTAAATATGTCGGTAAATTACATTTTAGAACAGAGAAATTTAGATTTATGGGAAAATGTTACGCACCACGCATGAGTGAGAAAATATTAGTAAGTCATTTGTGTTTTTGCATTTTTTCAAAAATAAGTTACTATCCAACATACTGAATAGCTTAAACGTAATATCTCAATGGGCCTCAAATTATTCTGAAATTCGAACACAAAGTTCCGTATTTTCTCGTCACAAATACAAACTGATCACCAGAAAATCAGTATAACTTCGTAGCAGTATTTATTTATTCTGCTTTATTTCAGACTCTTTCCTCCATGGAAAAACTGTTTCAAAGTTTGGAAGAAACTAATCTACGAACATCCTGCTTTTATGCCGTGGTCAACATTTAGTGATGCTCATAACTTACTTGTTGAATTTATCAACAAACCTGGAACGTAAGTTTACTTGTTTAAGTTAAGAAAATAAATGATGACAGCTCACCATTTATAACTTCTTGCTGTCAGATACTGAACCATATAATGTTTACTGGTGATATTTTTTAAAAAATATATGAATCATTAATTAATAAACTCTGAAAATAAGAGCGGTGTAAATGCCGTCCAGTTCCTAGAGGAACACAGGGCTTTAGCCTCACGTCTCCATTGCGTTTGGCTCTCCACCAACGTTTTCACTTGGCTCCATGTCTGCCAACATGCTTTCATCTCCTCTTCGCATGACCTCCTCCATGTCACCCTCGTACTGCTCAGCAGTCCGCTCCGTCCCCCTTTATGGCTAGCTGTGAGACCTGGCCACTGAGAGCAGAAGACATGAAAAGATTAGCTGTCTTCGATCATAGGTGTCTGCGTTCTATCTACCATGTGAAGTGGCATAATAAGGTGAGAAATATTGAGATTAGGCGTCGAGTGCTAGGTAAGGCGGGGAAATCAATAGACGAGACTGTGAAGCTACATTGACTGAGATGGTTAGAACATGTGTTACGCATGACTAGCCTAGTCATCGCCTTCCTCGACGGGCAATGTTAGCTGATATAGGGTCAGGCTGGAAAAGAGCCAGTGGTGGTCAAACGAAAACATGGCACCAGTCAATGAAATCCACAACAGTTAGTCTAAGTCACGTAGGGAGATGTAGACTTCCTGGTTGGGGTCCTCGGGACGGTAAAAACCAATGGTTGGAAACAATTGGTGACATGGCTCAAAATTGTTCTCAATGGCTGACGCAGATGCATCCACTCCTTGTGACTTATGATTTCCGATGAAACTGTTTTGTTCTTCGTTATCACTATACTTTTGTCTCACACATCTGTTTACTGTCTATATTATGCATTTCTCCCAATTTCTTCTCTTGCTTTGTGTGGTACATGGAGTGTGGTGACTTGAACTGCCGCACATATGTGCAAAGTTCTATGCCGAAAACAGACAGACAGACACTGACGGCTAATTCGACGCTTCTCATTCGGGTTACATGCTCTTTAAATATTTTATTCCTTCACGCTCCCAATCGGACATAGGGCTTCAATCCCATAATGGATAAGATTTTATTTTGATAAATCACACAGTGTAGTACAGTTATATTAACTGATGACGTTTCGAGCACAAACTATTGCTCATAATCATATCAATGATATGATATCAATGATATGATTATGAGCAATAGTTTGTGCTCGAAACGTCATCAGTTAATATAACTGTACTACACTGTGTGATTTATCAAAATAAAATCTTATCCATTATGGAATTATACTCTACCACAGTGCCCAAGTTTTATACTTATATCAATAGGGCTTCAAGCTGGAGCTTTAAAGTTTCGGTAGCAGTGTTTATTTTTTATTTTTATGGAGTGGCGCTGCTCGCCTCGTGCCTGACTTCCTCTCAATTAATGGTCTTATTACAGGCCCAGCGAGGTTTAGGAGTGCGTTGGCCGGAGATCGAACCACCCGAGAACCACCTGCGTGATTGGTAAGTATTCTACGAATAAGCCACCTACGCACATTACTGCATGTAGCATGCCTAAAATGTGGTTTACTCAACCTATTTAATCACTGAAAATTTAGTTTAAAATTGTGTCATTCGAATTCACATTTCAGTTGTCACTTAGTGGTTTGAGTGAGTGAAAAACTTTTTAATATTTTATTTATATTGATAGTTAAGATTGGTCCAATTCACGCACGTGTTTACACTAACTTCTTAAACGTTTATTCCTACACTTTTACTATGAGTAGATGTGTACCTAGATTGTTGTGTTGTTTTATGGTAAACTAGCAGTTTGAATTCAGTTAACATCTGTTCACGATCCTGATTTTCTTGTAGAACTTGTCAACTCAATCTGGATCCCAAGTTTTAAAATTAAGAAGAATTATTTGGTCTCTATTGTTACTGAATTCTTGTGATTCATTTGTAATTGTAATTTTTGGTGGTACATTGTAAAATATGAGGTCCTTATTCCATCTATAATATCAGAAAATCTATCAATGTTATAAACTAGAAATTTAGAGCCATCTCTAAGTTTTAATAGTGTGAAATATTCCCATATCATGAATTGAAAGTCAGTCTGAACGAATTCGTTATCATGTACAGTTTGCTTACATCTCCTACACATAGCTGAAGCTGTTGCAATAAGATCGACTAGAAAGGAGCTTTGTATCCAAAAAGAACACGTCGAGACTCTGTTCCTACCATGGCCAAACTTGGATTATTGTTTCTTCTTCTCACCAAGAGTGCCCCTTCCCCTTAACCCTCTTGGTTTATTTTCGTGCTGTTTTCTTTGCTTATTATTAGTCAAAATTTATACCCTTCATTCAAACATTCTATCAATATTATCGAATTTTCCATTTATACTATTTGGACTTATTATTAATACTATTATCTTTTCTATAGTTGGTTTGTAAGGGTTAGTTTTATCTTTTACGAATTGATCACGGATTGATATCGGTTAGAGAAGCATTGAAAACCAGGGAGTACTGGACAGCTGTTTCGTCATGGTTTGGGGAAGTACATCGGTAGTACATACCCACTGGGCTCCGAACCCAGTTGGCGTCGCGCCAAATCACGAATTGGTAGAAGTTAGAATTCGTGTGCTGGCCATTGAATCGCGTCCCAGTGGCTGAACGGTATAGGAGCTTGCTTTGTAATCGGAAGGTCCTCGGTTCGAACCTTGGTAGTGGGTGCGTACTGCCGATGATTCCCAAACTAGGATGAAACAGCTGTCCAGTATTCCCTGGTTTTCAATGCTTCCCTAACTGTTATCAATCTGTGATCAACTCGTAAAAAATAATAAATCCCTTTTTTTCTCAATATATGCCTCCACCTGTTTCATCTCACACATTGGTTATTTCATAATGAACCTTTCATTGCAGTCTTGTTATCTCCTCCCTCAAAGTAGTATTGCTTTGAACTAGCCACTCACCTGATACGTTTTATAACCTTGAACTGACTTGTCAATTTTTTCTACCCCACATTTTACGAATCTATTATGACTAATCACCGCCATAGTCTGTCATTTCAGAGTATTTCGTAACTGAATTCAGCCTAGCACGTTTGTCACACAATTACGACTATTTATTTTGACACCCTATACATACTAACTAATCTGTTATTCTACGTAAATATGTATCCGCCGCATAACTGACCATTATTGTAACAAAAACAAATATTATAATTTATAATTGTAAGAACGTGAGAAGAAATTATTGCAAAGCATATTCTTCATTCAGATTGACTTCCGTGTATAAGTGTTTAAACTGTTATCCTGCTTTATTTCACTGCATCCCTAAATATATGAAATTTTATATGATGAAGCACAGTAAGCAGTAGTACTTAGTAGCATTATAAAGAAGTCGATTGTTTGTAAGAGTTCACTCTTACACATCACTACAAGCATAGAAACATAATAGTTTTAACAATGCGAAATATTTTTTCTCAACTTTTATTGTACATAAACGTCATCACCGCTAATAATCTTTCGAATTATGTGCATCCATAAAACCACAGCCGATCAGTGAGTAATTTACGTTATTTTTTTGTAAATTTGAACACTTCATTTGATTTCTCTACATTGGTCTCTTGAAGTACACTGATGAATTACTAGTTGTCTAAATATTTAATATATAAAATGATCTATTATTAAACAAGGCATCGATGGAAATATCTATTTTCTCAGGGTTTGCGTAACCTCTAAGAACTATAGGGTAGAATACAAACGTTATGAAGAAAAACTATTTGTAGTTACTCAAACCAACTATAGAATTACTGAAGTAATTTGTTGAAAATCAAGATGTGCATTTCGTCCTATGTCGGACTCGTCACTTGGAAGTGTTTGCATTCCTCAGTGAAAGATGGTCTGGACTTTGCCGATGATATATGTCTGATTTCCCACAAACTGGAAGATATGCAAGTGAAAAGCAACAAGTTGGCAGAAGAAGCATCAAAGATAGGACTACTTTCAGGTGAACATAGAGAAGACAGAGGTGATGAAGATTCCTGGGCAACACCGCCAACAGCAACAATAACAGTCAGCATAAATGGAAGGAACCTGGGAAGCATCGTTTCATCTACAGGTGCACAGAAATGACGAGGATATCAAAGCAAGAATCGGAAAAGCAAGACAAGCTTTCACTACTCTGAAGTCTGTGTGGAGGTCAACAACACTCAGCATGAAAAATAAGATCCGGCTTTTCAACTCCAATGTGAAGTCAGTCAGTGCTACATACTATACGGATCAGAGACTTGGCCAGTGCGTCATAAAGAGCATCTGAAACAAACTACAGACCTTCATTGACAGTTGTCTTCGCCCAATACTACTCAAGATCAGATGGCCAGAAAAGATCAGCAACAGAGATCTCTGGCAATGAGCGAAACAACCCAGCAGGAACCGATTGTGAAGCAAATAGACAGGAAGAAATGGAGATGGATTGGCCATACTCTAAGGAAACAAAGCCATCAAGTGACATCACTAGGCAAACCATTGCTCGAGTGGAACCCGAAAGGGAAGCGGCGAGTTGGTCGTCAGTGCAAGGGTAACTTGGAGGAGGTCATGTGAAGAGGAGATGACAGCGTGTGGACAGACTTGGAGCCAGGTAAAGACTCTAGCAGATAACCGAACGCAATGGAGACGCACGGCTGAAGCCATATGTTCCTCTAGGAATTAAAGAAATCAATATATATATATATGTAGTGAAATATGGTGTCCCTATGAGACTCAAATGCTGCACCTATCATTTCAAATACCATAGCAATATCCACTTAACCACTCGGACTACGACAGCCACCTCTTACTACAAGTTAATCCTCAGACATCATCGAAGCGTCCACAACTTGAGCCGATATGTCAACAGAGGCCGAACATTTTGGTCAATTCAGTCAACGGGAATATCAAAATGAATTCGAAAGATATCAAAATTATTGGTTCCAAATTTTTCCTACATAGCTGAGATGTTTCTTATCCTGAGATCTACACTCCAAATCAAAGGAATTAGTTTCTAGAGAACTCCGAGACATAAGCTGGAAATCAATGATACCAGATTTTTTGCCGGGAGTAGTAGAGAAAATAGAAATCCTGATGTTTTGAATATACTAGGTCTTCCTTTTGGTATAATCCCATAAACAGGTCAGTGTGGGTATACTGGCTGAAGCTCCTACAAACATCTTAGAAGCATAGAAAAGAAATAAGCAGAAATAACATGGTACTATAATAAACGAAAATAAAGCTGTTAGAAGAGACTCAGAGCGGCTAAGAGAGAAAGAAGGTAGCTAAATGCCTACCTCCTGGGCAACACCACCAACAGCAGCAACAACAACAACAGACAACAATCAGCATAAATGGAAGGAACCTGAAAGAAACAACCTCCTTTACCAACCAACCTGGGAAGCATCGTTTCAACTACAGGTGCACAGAAATGACGAGGATATCAAAGCAAGAATCGGAAAAGCAAGACAAGCTTTCACTACTCTGAAGTCTGTGTGGAGGTCAACAACACTCAGCATGAAAAATAAGATCCGGCTTTTCAACTCCAATGTGAAGTCAGTCAGTGCTACATACTATACGGATCAGAGACTTGGCCAGTGCGTCATAAAGAGCATCTGAAACAAACTACAGACCTTCATTGACAGTTGTCTTCGCCCAATACTACTCAAGATCAGATGGCCAGAAAAGATCAGCAACAGAGATCTCTGGCAATGAGCGAAACAACCCAGCAGGAACCGATTGTGAAGCAAATAGACAGGAAGAAATGGAGATGGATTGGCCATACTCTAAGGAAACAAAGCCATCAAGTGACATCACTAGGCAAACCATTGCTCGAGTGGAACCCGAAAGGGAAGCGGCGAGTTGGTCGTCAGTGCAAGGGTAACTTGGAGGAGGTCATGTGAAGAGGAGATGACAGCGTGTGGACAGACTTGGAGCCAGGTAAAGACTCTAGCAGATAACCGAACGCAATGGAGACGCACGGCTGAAGCCATATGTTCCTCTAGGAATTAAAGAAATCAATATATATATATATGTAGTGAAATATGGTGTCCCTATGAGACTCAAATGCTGCACCTATCATTTCAAATACCATAGCAATATCCACTTAACCACTCGGACTACGACAGCCACCTCTTACTACAAGTTAATCCTCAGACATCATCGAAGCGTCCACAACTTGAGCCGATATGTCAACAGAGGCCGAACATTTTGGTCAATTCAGTCAACGGGAATATCAAAATGAATTCGAAAGATATCAAAATTATTGGTTCCCAATTTTTCCTACATAGCTGAGATGTTTCTTATCCTGAGATCTACACTCCAAATCAAAGGAATTAGTTTCTAGAGAACTCCGAGAAATAAGCTGAAAATCAATGATATCAGATTTTTTGCCGGGAGTAGTAGAGAAAATAGAAATCTTGATGTTTTGAATATACTAGGTCTTCCTTTTGATATAGCCACATAAACAGGCCAGTGTGGGTATACTAGCTGAAGCTCCCACAAAACTTCTTAGAAGCATAAGAAAGAAATAAGCAGAAATAACATGGTACTATATTAAACGAAAATAAACCTGTTAGAAGAGACTGAGGACGGCTAAGAGAGAAAGAAGGTAGCTAAACGCCTAGTGAAAACGTCTGAAACTTGACAAATGGTGAGAATTGAATGCGTCCAAGTCATTGTGAACAATCGCTACCCATAAACTATTCTTGCTTTATACCTTATGTATGATTGTATTGAATCTTAATTCATCTGAAAAGCAAGTAAAACCTCATAGGTTCTAACCAGTTGTAATTCTTCACTTCTACAGCTTTGTTTTTCGTCTGAGTTGTAATAATATTGGATTCTGGTCTGTCGGTTATGTAGGAGAAGATGAAAAACCTGTTCAGATTGTTTGTCGTTCTCATTATCTAGCTGACTATCTTGAAGAGACAAAACATAGAAAATTGTAAGTTGTATCAATTTCATTCTGTGTATTATGTTATTTTAACAAAATAATGTTATATATTCGATAGTTTTCAGCAATGTTTAATACACCCTTTTCAGTTAAACACTGACAAACTGTTTTACCTTGTACACGCATTCCATAGGAATGGGAACCTTCAAGTAAACACCTCTTTTGTCTACACTAATTAAATACTTTCTTGTTGTCTTAGCATCAGTATCTGTGCGCTGATTCATTTATCAATTCATTTTCTTCTATCGAGCTGAGTACCCCATGCGGCTGCATGTATACCACTCTGTGGAACATTATCTAGTCTGACTAGCAAACAGAGATGGAAAGTACATCTATAGCTGGATAACTGGACATCTCTTGAAATCATAACACTGAGGCCCATTTAAGAAATCCTTCAAAACCTTATACAAAATCCAGTCAAGTCTCTCAAAGGGAGAGAAATCAAGACATCTGGCCGTAGTTGAAGCATTAGTGTCTTAAAAATTCAGGCTAATGCTATATATATGTGCGTCGGTGGCACAGTGGTTAGGACTCTCGCCGACCATGCACATGGTCCGGGGTTCGATCCCCTGCCAGCGCACACCCGATATCTATGGTCGGCCTGTAAAATTTGGGCTACCGATATCCATGCTGAAAATTCCACACTTGTACTGAAAATACGGTGTGGAATCAAGCTGTAAATCAAAATAAATAAATAAAATAAATAATATATCCAAAGGAGTATGTTCAACCCTTGACTTTACCAAGGCAATTCACAATTCCGATAACGTTTTTTTTCATACTTCTTGTTTATTTTTCTTCTAATTTTCGAATCGCTATTTATGTTAAACAACTTCATCTTGTTATTCGTTGTACTTTGACCTCGGACCCAAAATGCTTCTGGAACTTTCTCATCCCTTTGTTTCGAATTTGGAAAAAACACAGTCAAGTAGATGACTTCGTTGAAAGGGATATTTTCTTCTTAGCTGAAGTTATCTTTTTCGTATTTCCAATCATCTAATTTATATATTCGGTTAAAATTTTCAAATGACTCCACTCGGCCATATGGGAATAGGAAGTGAGTAGTATTCATACACTTTCCCAAAACTTTATGGTTATACATATATATGTATGTAAATTCGCTTCTATATTCTCTGTTTTTTCTTCCTGGCATGTAGCTGCTAATTTTAGAAGTGACACAGATTGCCAATCTGAGCTTTTTAGACAGTAATGTATAGAATTTATTAAAATTTACGACTTCAATGTTGTTCTTTTGACATCTAGTTCGGTTTTACTTCTTCAACTTAATAACATGAAGTACTCAAAAGAAGAAAACTGTAGATCACACTTCCTTGTCTGCTTCAAATCTAAATGTTGTACTCTCACTTTAGTGTATAGTTTTCCTCCAGACATTGGTTAATACAAACTATTCAGTTGACATTTATGTTTCTGAACAGCTGTTTCGTCCTGGTTTGGGACTCCTCATGAATACGCGCCCTCCGGGGTTCAAACTCAGGACCTTCTGGTTAGAAGGCGAGCTCGTCGACCATTAAGCCATTGGGACCCACTCAATCAAGTGGCCAGTCGATGAATTCCAGCTCTTGCCAATTCATGATACCACGACTACGGTGGGTGCGTACTGTGAAGAGTCCCAAAATGGGGCGAAACAGCTGTTCAGTACTCCTAGGTTTCCCAGTGGTTCTCCAACTGATGTCAGCTTATGATGAAACCCTCGAACCAATCAAATAAAATCCATACAGAACCCAATACTTGAAAATTTATGTTTCTGGTGTATCATTTAAACAATATTGGCTGTTAAATAGTTAAAAGGTATTTCCTAGTATAAATAGCTTATTATGATAAATTACCATACACAGATTTTTTGCTTTTCAGAAGGTATGAATTTCATCCACTCAAACATAGGTAATTTTAGAGTTATGCAGTGTTGAGGAGTTCGGAACCACAGTGGTACGGATTACAAATAGTCTCTGATATCCTGTGTTTCTTCATAGCAGATAGTTTCTATTTAAATCTGTCATCAAGTTTTTTATTCTCTCAAAGTTGTCTATTTGTAAGGCTCCAAATAATCTAATATCTTGTTGTACCTATAAAGATAAAATTTTTCCCATTCAAATAAAACACGATTTATCAAAGCAAAGTAGGTGAATTAAGAAGTTTTCTCTGCTTTTTTTAAGACTGTTGAGAGTTGTTAGTTTAGGTTTTTGGTTTTATGTTGATGAATATGTTGATGAACCCTCTAACTTTTAGTTAATTTTCTATCCCATCTTCTTCAGGTGTATTTTCCCAAGAGGTCTTGATTCAAACCAAAATCCAGATCTCAGTGAAATTGTAAATCAAACTCAGATGTGTATTGTTAGTCCCACAGATAATAGAAACTCTGAATCTGTCCTTTCATGTGGTATATGCATGGAATTTGAAAAAACAGTTCAACTTGAACCGTGTAAACATCATTTATGTCTAAAATGCTCAATCAAATGGATAGTAAGTTCTAATTTTTGATGATGTCAATATGACTTGCTTAATTTATAACAAGTATAAATGTACGTTATTCAAAGGCTACGATGACGTTAAATTCAACGTTCTTTCTATCTGTGCGTTGGTGGCACAACGGTTAGGATGCTTGCCGACCATACACATGATCCGGCGTTCGATCTCCGGTCGACACACACCTGATATCAATGGTCGGTCTGCTAAATCTGGGCTACCGATATCACATGCTGAGAATTTCATAGTTGTACCAAAAATATTGTGTGGAATCAAGCTATAATGAAAAAGAATTTCGAGTCATATTTGAAATCCATAGCACTTATTGAGTGTACTGACAGAAGGCAGTGCACATGCGTTTCTTTGAATTCACTGGCAGCTGTTATTTGAACTTTCAGAGTACTAACGTCCTAGCAGAGGCTCCAATGGCTTTAAGACAAGCTAGCTAAAAGTTATTCAAATTACTACCAAATCTCTTCGTAGCTCAATGCTGTTTGTTAATCAGTCAGTGCAGTGAAAGTTCAGCTATTAATGTTTTATGCGCCTTTATGTTTTACTTTGTGCATCAAAATAAGTCTTTCTAATATAAATAACAAGTATTTGCATCATTTTACGGCATCTACATTAAAATTTAGATATAATGGAGAAGATTTGTTGCTCACAGAACGCAACTGCGTCAAAAAAAGCATTAAAATTTTTGGTACACTGACCTTTATCTTTAGCAGTATTGATGATAGGAAATTTCAAAGTTATTTAATTAGATTATTTAATTGAATTTTAGATTTTCCCGTCGATTGATTGGACCGAAGTGCTCGGTCTCAGGTTGACATGTCTGTTGGCCTCTTGTGTAGATGCTTCGAAGATGTCTGGGCATTTAATTAGAAGTTAATTAGTGGATGGTGACTAGCAGTGGAATCCAGCCAGGATGACGCGCACTTCGTCTTATTTGGGACTGGGACACTGGGTTCGAGCCTCGGTGCAGACATCATCAATCACGACGGAATGCAGGGACATCCAGATGACGAGTCCCAAATAGAACGAAACGTGTGTTATCCTGGATTCCACGGCTAGTCACCATCCACCAATTAACATTTAATTAGATTGTTTATAGCTTAGTGAATAAATGCACAATATAGAGTTTTGACTCATCAGCTCTAAAATCTTTCCATCACCGTAATCACGATAGTGCAAAAGGGATAGTTTTCATTTCTACAGTAGTTTATTTGCTTAGTGGGTAGTTTGACCCTGTATGAAATACAATGAAAGATGACCTCTCGAACTAACCATTCACATATGATCTAATAGGCTGCGAGTTCGAACCCCTTTCCAACTTCTTTGATGATATGTCAGAGGAACTCACACTTAAGTTATGATTCATAAACTAATAAGCTAAGAATCTGTAATGAATACCAGAGTTGAATTATTATTATTATTATTATTATTATTATTATGGAGATTGAGTGTTTTAGTTCTATATTACTATGCGAAAATTATTGTATTCATCAAATGTCTTCACTAATTAGCTACTTAAAATACTCACTATGATGACGGTCACTGTTTAAAGGAAGTGTCTTTCATCAAATAAACACTATTGCTACCTAAATTGACAGGAAGCTGTTGAATGCAAGTTTAGATTATGTATATTCCATATTCACTTAAATGGAGATAACGTGACTGTTATCACTTTATTTCTAAGCGCTAACGAGATTTGAAACAAATATTTCTTGAATTAATGACTGGGTGCTGGATTTCTTTAAACTACTAAATCTGTTTAATGAATGTTTTAAAGCCGCATATTAGTGAATTTTGTACAAAAATAACTTTAAAGTGTATGCAGAGTTTTTTAGTCTTTACAGTTATAGGGCGATACGGGTTAAGATAAACATTGCTCATTAATAATCTTGTTTACAAGAGTGAATTCTGAAGGTGGTAGATATGGTATATAACATTTTAACTTAGATATAATGGAGAGGATTTGTGCCAACCATGTAGTAGCAAGTAGCCCATCCAGCTGACAAAATGTAGAGTCTTCTGAACACCTTCAGTTGTAATCTGCGAATGTTTCGTATGCGATTCGCTCCCGCCAAATGTAAGATGATGTTACAGGACTGGACTAATTTGACTCCTAGCTTAGAAATAGGGAGTGAAGAGGTAGAGCACGTTGACCACTTCACTTATTTGGGAATTTGCATCAGCCAGTGCCAACGTGGTGGTCGCTGAAGAAATCTCACCACGGATACAGAAGGATCGTTTAGCATATGCTAGTTTAAGCCGCCTCTGGCGTAGACGTGATATCAGGTTGTCGACCGAAGGGCGTATGTAATGGTCAGCAGTCCGCTCCGTCCTCCTTTATGTCTGTGAGACCTGGCCATTGAGAGTGGAAGAAATGAAAAGACTAGCTGTCTTTGTTCATAGTTGTCTGCGTTCTATCTCCCCTATTAAGTGGTGGTATAATAGAGTGAATTATAATGAGTTGAATAGATGTCGAGTGCTAAGTAAGGAGGGGAAATCAGTTGACGAGGCTGTGAAGATACATCGACTGAGATGGTTAGGACATATGTTACGCATGGCTAGCCATCGATCGCCTTGCTCAACGGGTAATGTTAACTGACATAGGGTCAGGTGGGAGAAGAACCAGTGGTGGTCAAACCAAACCATGGCATCATTCAATGAAATTCACAACAATTAGTTTAAGCCACTTAGGAAAGTGTAGACTTCCTGGTTGGGGTCCTCGGACGGTTAAAACTAATGGCTCGATACAATCGGTGATATGGTTCAAAATCTTTCTCAGTGCCGCAGATGCATCCTCTCCTTGTGATTTATAATACCCAATAAAACTATATTGTTCTTCGATATTACTATTCTGTTTGCCTTATATCTCTGTTCACTGTTTCTATTTTGCATTTCTTTTTACTTTCCTCTCTTGCTTTGTGTGCTACATGGAGTGTGGTGACTCGAACTGCTGCACATCGGTGCAAAATTCTATGTTGAAACCAGCCAGTCAGTCAAACCATCCAGCTCAGAGAACACAACCACACTAATAACATTTTAACTTATTGGTTTAGAAGGATTTTCCAAAGATTCCCCGTTTATTAAAAATGCATTTCAGCTCCCCAAGTAGATAATTACCAGTAGAGCTAATTCAGAATAAATTACTAGCCAACACTTGTTAAGATTATAAGTTTCCAGACCGTAGATGTTACAAATTTCATGGAATAATTTGAGCACTGAGTCAGACTGAATCATTATAATAAGTCAATTAAAATAGTCCCAGTTTGATCGACAGAAAATCAAAACAAGAGTTTTCTGTACGTTTCGCTGTGTAACTTGCCACAGCTTCTTCAGTAGAATTATTCCGACTTTATTAACCACCAAAGTATATAGTCAAAAATTACATACATTGAAGTTAGTTCATTTGAAGGTCATTTGTCGGTAGACATTTCTACCAATAGAAAATTGTGAACAGTCATCACATATCTGTAATGACTAATGTCAAAGGAACTCACTTCAATTTATGCAATTTTTGACTATATGTGTTTTGATGGTTAATAAAATCCGAATAATTCTGCTGAAGAATTCCATTGTGAATAAGATTTATTTTCAATAGTTGGTTTGTAAGAATTAGACTGGCTTTTACGAGTTGATCACGGATTGTTGTCAGTTAGAGAAACATTGAAAAGCAGCACTGGAGTGCTGGACAGCTATTTCATGCTAGTTTAGGAATCATCGGCAGTAAGCACCCACTACCAGGGTTCGAACCCAGGACCTTCCGGTTACAAGGTAAGCTCGTATACCATTCAGCCAGCTACAGCATGGAATTTCCTGGAGTTCTAGTGAGAAGTCGAGACCAATGAGGTTCATCCAGTCAAATATGTGGATGGATGTTCCACCGATGACACTGGTTGGTGGTCGCTTTAAATCACGAATTGGTAGAAGTTACAATTCATGTGCTGGCCACGGAATCGGGTCCCAGTGGATGAATGGTAAAGGAGCTTGCCTTGCAACCAGAAGGTCCTGGTTTCAAACCCTGTCGGTGGGGTGGGTGTGTACTGCCGATGATTCCCAAACTAGGATGAAACAGCTCTCCAGTACTCCCTGCTGGTTTTCAATGGTTCTCTAACTTATATCAATCCATGATAAACTCGTAAAAATAAAAATTTATTTTCATAAAGTGTCTCAGTGCTAAACAGTAATATTTACTGATGACGTTTCGAGTACAATTTATTGCTCATAATCATATCAGGTTACTCGCACAACTTTCCAACTTCATTTATACGATCATATAAATTGTGCTGGAAACCTGGTCACATCAGTAAATAATACTGTATAACACTGTGAGTCTTTATCAAAATAAATTTTATCCACAATAGAATTCTATTCTACCACAGTGTACAGGTTCTGTTCTTATATCTGCTGAAGAAGCTGTGGTTTACACAGTGAAATGTTCAGAAAAAATCTGGTTTTGGTTGTTTCTTAAACACACCGGGATTATTTTAAATAATTTATAACGAAGCTGTATAAGTTAAACTGATCCGAGGAAGGCATTTTTTTTATTAAAAACATATAAAAAGGTTTTATCCACACGTTCTCCTAAGCACATCTACGTGAAATGGAGAGAGGTGTAACTTGGTTAGTTAAGGGTGTCATCTTATCTCATCTATTAGATATAACGAAAATCAAATCACATTATTCTTATCTGAGTGTTTATTTAACTGCTTTCTACTAGAATAGGCTACTCCTGTGTCATGTTTACATAGTTCAAATGATAATTTGACTTATTTATACAAAATAAATCAACTAATTAACTTGTTTTCTATAGTTTGGTTTGTAAGGGTTAGTTTTGTTTTTACGGGTTGATCACGGATTGATATTTGTTAGAGAACCATTGAAAACAAGGGTCTCAGTGGCTGAATGGTATACGAGCTTGCCTTGTAACCGGAAGGTCGTGGGTGCCGATGATTTCCAAACTAGGATGAAACAGCAGCTGTCCAGTACTCCAGTGATGGTTTTCAATGTTTCTCTAACTAATATTAATCCGTGATCAACGCGTAATTAACTTGTAATTAATAGGTCCAGTCCTATTTTAGTCAATATTTTCTCTAAGACTTATATTTGATCATTATTGATTTATTTTTCTCCTTCTCCTTCCTTCCACCTTATAAAATAGTTTTTATACTTTATTAGTTACTCGACTTTCATCATGAGGAAGAAATCTTCGAAGTCGTTCCATAACACTGTACAACGCCTGATCTATTTTGACACAATACAAACTCTAATAATCACTCCCCTCCCCCATCTATTATTTCAAATTGACATATATACATACATTTCCACTTTATGATTTTTATTCTGTGTAGCCTACAGTTAAAGGATGTCCATTCTGTCGACAGACTGTGTTAGCAACAACTTCCGTACAACTCTATCTGAATAATACAAAAAGTGAGTACATTTTATGGCTTGTTTAATAATTAAAAAAAAAAATTTAGTTGAAACTTTCTCTGCAACTAAACTTTCAGTCATCACTGAACTTAGTTATTATTTTCAAATTTTTAAAGCAATATTGGTGGAAGAATGGAGAAATTCTGTGCATACTACTTTTTATTATTATATTATTATCATTGTTTCCTTTAATTCCTAGAGGAACATAGGACTTCAGCCGTGCGTCTCCATTACGTTCGGTTCTCTGCTAGAGTTTTCACCTGGCTCCAAGTCTGCTCACACGTCTTCATCTCCTCTTCACATCACCTCCTCCAAGTCACCCTTGCACCGACGACCAACTCGCCGCCTCCCTTTCGAGTCCCACTCGAGCAATGGCTTGTCTAGTGATGTCACTTGATGGCTTCCTCAGAGTATGGCCAGCCAATCCATCTCCATTTCTTCCTGCCTATTTGTTTCACAATCGGTTCCTGCTGGGTTGGTTCGCTCATTGCCAGAGATCCCTATTGCTGATCTTTTCTGACCGGCCACCTGATCTTGAGTATTGAGCGAAGACAACTGTTAATGAAGGTCTGTAGTTTGTTTGATGTGCTCTTTATGACGCGCAGTGCAAGTCTCTGATCCGTATAGTGAGTAGCACTGACTTCACATTGGAGTTGAAAATCCGGATCTTATTTTTGATACTGAGTGCTGTTGACCTCCACACAGACTTGAGAGTAGTGAAAGCTTGTCTTGCTTTTCCGATTCTTGCTTTGATATCCTCGTCAGTTCCGTCGGCCTGTAGTTGAAATGATGCTTCCCACGTAGGGTAGATAAAAGAGGTTGTTTCTTTCAGGTTCCTTCCATTTATAGTGATTGTTGTCTGTTGTTGTTGTTGCTGCTGTCCGTGGTGTTGCTCAGGAATCTTCATCACCTCTGTTTTCTCTATGTTCACCTGAAGTCCTATCTTCTCTGGATGCTTCTTCTGCCAACTTGTTGCTTTTCGCTTGCATATCTTCCAGTTTGTGGGAAATCAGACATATATCATCATCGGCGAAGTCCAGATGCTCCAAGTTTTTTGTGTGATTCCATTTTATGCCTGTTTCTTCATTGCCTTCTGTCAGTCGCATCATACAATCTACTGCAATCAGGAAAATCATTGGTGATAGTAGGCAACCTTGTCTTACTCCTGTCCTCACTTCGAAGGATTCCATAAGTTTCCCGTTGTGGATTACTTGGCATGCAGCCTTATCGTACAGCTGTTGGATGAGATGTATAATAGTCGGTGGCACCCCGTCGTAATAGTGAAACATTATTGATTAACCTATCAGTGTTCTTCACGTAGTAATAAAATCATATCCAGTAATTCATTTTTATATGTAAATTATTGATATTCCTTTGAGTTCCGAGTGGAACTTCGGGCTTCAACAACACATCTCCACTTCGTCCTTTCCTCTGTAGTCCTCTTTAGCTGACCCCACGATTGTTCATATTCTCTCATCTCCTCCTCAAATGGTCGCTTCCATGTCACCTTTGAACCAACTCCAAAGTCGTCGTTTCCCATTAGGGTTCCACTTGAGCGATGGCCTGGAGTGCAATATCACCCAAGGGTCTCCTCAGTTTATGTGCTATCCATCTTCATTTTCTTCTACATATTTGGTGAGCAGTAGGTTCTCACTTTGTTAGTTCGCAGAGTTTCTTGTTGCTAATTCTATCTGTCCACTTGATGTTGACTATAGAGTAAAAGCAGCTCTTGATAGAAGTTTGCTGTGGCCTGTTGGAAATGTTTTTCGTAGCGCGACAGGTTTCTGATCTGTGCAGAAGAACTGGCTTCAAACTCTTGTTGAAAATTCGAATTTTCTAAATAAAAATATCAGGGCATTAGATGTAATTTTTCGCTTAATAATTACAACGACAGCATTCTTCATGAATGAAATCTTCCCATCAAATATTGGAAGTTTCTCTTGGTGCTTGACATTGAGAATGTATATCATATAACTTTCGTAAACAGTTTAGTGCTCATCGACATTGACGCTTGAATGTACAGAACTAAACAGTTTAAGTCATGAACCTGTACTCTGATAGTTAAGTTCCACTATTTTCCAATTCAGATTACATCTTGTCTGATTTCTTTATTTCAACCCCAGATAAGACATGTTTATCATTCCCTAGGCATGTCTGTAGCGTATAGTTAACAAAAATGTCTGTATCAATTATTCTTGCATAGATATCTGAAAATGATTATTATTGTTAGAAATGATAAAAAGGGTTGATAAAAAGAGGAAGAAAAACAAAGGCAGCATTAGTGTGTTACTTTAGAATTGGAATAGAAAGCAAGTAGTCATTTCGCTAAGAAAGGAAAAGGGATAGTAGAGGAGATTTGTAGCTCAGATGGATGATTTTGGAATTAGTTGTGTTCTCTGAGCTGGCTGGTTTAATTGCAAAGCTTTCGTCGTCCTTCTGGAAAACATCTTCAGTGCAAGTTTTAGCATAAAATAAACTGATTTAAATTCTCCTTGAGTGATATAATTGTGTCTCCTGGTAACCATCTTTGTGACTGGTAGTAAAAAAATCGAGTCACAACACCAACAAGAAACCATCATCAAAGAATACAAGAAAATTCATTCTAGCATATATAAAAATATCTTGGAAATAAAAGCTAGAATAGTGAAACCGTTTGAAAGAGATATAGCACACAAGCCAGCTAGCCAGCACAATCACTTCATTCGATATTAAGAAAGCCGAAACATACGAAATAAATTGTATGAACTGTAACAGACATCACGTCAGCCAAAGCGGGCGTCCCCTTCGAATCACAATCCAAGATCACAAATTGGCTGTAAAAAGAAATGATATATATTCTTTCATATCAATACATGTGGATAATTATGAACACCAATTTGATTGGGATTATGTCGAAATTTTAAATAGAGGAAACACAAAAAGTGCCAGAGAACTCCTAGAAGCCTGGTATTCAAGTGAATCGGCAATAAACAAACACATTACACTTTAGACCAAATTTACCAGCTAGCAAAAAATAAATCACACGACACGCAAGTTCAAATTCCAAGTCAATAAAAAATGATCACTACAGATGCAAATCGACTACCAGTCACGAAAATGGTTGCCAAGAAACACAATTCTATCATTTATGGAGAATTCAAATCAGTTCATTTTATGCTAAAACTTGCGCTGAAGATATTGTCCGGAAGGGTGATGAAAGCCTCGCAGTTAAATAAACCAGCTCAGAGAACACAACTAATTCCAGAAGAGGAATGGGCTAAAGAAATATATTCCTTTCCAGTTAGTGTCTCATTTATAGATAATATGAACTAATGCACAGATTTCACTGTGAAATAGTAATACCAAAATCGGAAATCAGCTGCCAAAGTGGCGAAGGATAAATCACACTCTTTTTATTTGTGTATGTGTAGGTTCAGCAGAAAACGTCTGATTGCAATTGCTTCAGTTAATCATATTAAATCCAGAGTCCTCTGCGTACTTAGTGTTTCGAAGGAATTAGAGGTGTCATCTAAATGCCTCAAATCCAAGAGTGTCTAGTCATTGTATTGCGTAAATATTTGCTTCCCTTTAGACGTAGATTTCTTGAAATATTCTCAAAAAACACGAATAGAAAACTTTCTTCCACTCCTTAAAATGTACTTGCTACCTCAAGAGCATGAAAACTAATGAACGAAGTTGGAGGTGACATCAGCAGAATACTTGTTTATTTTGGATTGATTTATTGATCGCTTGGCGCTTTGTAATCATCCAAGTTTGGCTTCAGGGAAACAACTTTTTCTCTCTAACCTTTGCTTTAAAATACTGTATATTCATTGAATAGGAAGCGAATGAAGAATTTCAGCATGCTATTTACATTATGGTGAGAACTAGTTGCTAGCCGAATTCGTAGACAGTAATTGACGTCAATGTTTATGTCCCCGATATTGGTCGTAAGAAGAATGAGGAGGTAGGCTTTGTGTAGGCGGATACAGTTAGCATATAGATGATCTGTTGCCTGGCCCTTGTCTTCTGTTGTTACAACATTAGCAATTTTGTTTATTATTACCACACAAAAACCTTGGCATTTAAAATACCCAAGCTTCTTAGTGATTCAACGTAATTCCAGAGGAAAAAGGTGAGAAGGAATATGAAAATCGCATGCGAAAATAAAATTAAGTGAATGTATCAAGAATTTCCCAAGAGAGAGAGAGAGAGCTGGTAGATAACGTAACATACGATGCACCCAAAAGCAAAAGGTGCCTGACTTCCTTTTAGTGTGTGGTTTTTTGGAAATCATGAGTCTAATGTACTCTTGAGACTTATAATGCTAATGATCAAAAGTTGACTCAGTGGTCACTCCATTTTTTGCAGGCTGCTCGAAATAATTTTTTATTTGAAAAATTACCTTTCAATTTCCCTAGGAAGTAGGTAGGTATCGTCAACATATCAAATAAACACATGGTATCGAAGATGTGGTCATTTTATTTACAGATAGAGAAATGATTAAATAATTAGTATAATTTTTCTAACAGGCGAACTTGCTACCGCTTCCTGAAATAGAAATGAGGCAGGTTGAACCCCTTTGCATAAAAGACATCCAGTTTCAGTTTAATGGCTAGCTTCGCCAACAAATTAATGGGTTCTCCTTTAGGACCTGTCCTGACCGATATTTTTATAGGTTATCTCGAAAAGACACAGTTAAGTTCTGCAATTAGCAAACGAATCTACTATCACAGGTACAGTAATCACAACTTGTTGTTTTTATTGGTACGAATCATGCATCATAATTATTTGGCAATTTCAACTAGATTCAACTTAACCGCAAATTACACACATCGTATTCGTGCGACAATGAGTTTATCCTAATATGAGATTAAAAAGTTTATCCATAGAAATAACACTTGTACTGGACAACATCTTCTCTACAATAGCTTCTATCCTGTCAACCATGAGCGTGGATTAATGGGAACACTATATTATTCAAGTAGCTACGTTCATCTGGCAAGTTAAAAAAATTAGGCTTCGTTGAAAATTGCCTTAGAGAGAACTGACATCACATTGGATTCATCCTGGAGACACCTGATGAAGGAATAGAAAAATGTCAGTTTAGACGTGATGTGCGTGGTTGTGTTTTGGTGGTTTTCACGAAGTTATTAATTAATTGAAAGAATAAGACGTTATTTGATGAATACAACAGTTGTATGCACACACATAGTTAGGGTGTCACGGTGATATTATATCGCCATAACCACTAAAGTGTGCTCAAGACATTATCCTATTCGTTATATTATATTATTATGTGCTGTGTAACGCCAACCTATCTAATTTGAAACTATACTCCATCAGTTTTCCCAAGTTTTACCTTCACATGTCTAGAGGAGTTATATAAACCTCGAAATATAAAAAGGGAAGATTCTAAATAAAACGACGAATTAAAATATTGAAAAGGAAATTCAAGGTTAGATAAATGGGTCCAACAAATTTCTTTTAAATAAATATGACGTGTTTACCAAATTATTTCCCGTCTGTGGAACAGTTTAAGTACTTTTGAGTTATCTCATCCATTTACTAATTGTGTAATACGAACTTCTCAATAGATTCTCTTTTTGTTCAATAATACTTTCAAGCCACACCATATTTTAGCTTGACCTTCATGCAGATGATATCTGATTAATCACAGGTTTGACCACGAGTTAACATCAGTTTAAGAACCTTTGGAAAACCTAAGAGTATTGGTAGCTGAATGGTCTGCAAGCTCCCCTTGTAACCGGAAGGTCAGGGGTTCGAATCCCAGTAGGTGCGTACCATTGAGGAGCCCCGCACTAGGACGAAACAACTGTCCAGGTTATTTAATGGTTCTCTAACTGATATCAACTCATGACCAAAGTTGTAACCAATCAAATCCCTGCAAACCAACATTTGACAGATATCAGATTATATGGAGGATTTCATCATGAGCTGACATCGGTTAAAGAACCACTGGAAAACCAGCTGGGAGTACTGGACAGCTGTTTCGTCCTAGTTTGAGACTCTTCATCAGTACTCACCCACCAGGGTTCGAACCCAGGATCTTCTGGTTACAAGGCTAGCTAGTTCGTAGACCATTCATCAGTCACTGGGACCCTATCCAATGGTCCTTGAATTCTAACTTTTGCCAATTCACGACATAGCGCAACCATTTCACAATGTCTTCTTCGACGAGTTACTGCCTCATCTTCAACCTGCTGTACCCTACTGGTCACGGCTTTTCACAGCAGGTTGAAGATCAGGCAGTAACTCGTCGAAGAAGACATTGCGAAATGGTTGCGCTATGTCGTGAATTGGCAAAAGTTAGAATTCAAGGACCATTGGATAGGGTCCCAGTGACTGATGAATGGTCTACGAACTAGCTAGCCTTGTAACCAGAAGATCCTGGGTTCGAACCCTGGTGGGTGAGTACTGATGAAGAGTCTCAAACTAGGACGAAACAGCTGTCCAGTACTCCCAGCTGGTTTTCCAGTGGTTCTTTAACCGATGTCAGCTCATGATGAAATCCTCCATGCAATCAAACAAAAAATCCCTACAAAACCAATACTTGAAGATACCAGATTACACTATGTAAGCGTCATTAATTGGTGGCGAGAAACACCGTTTTTACAACATAGTTTTCATTTCCCTTTGTTGTTTTTTCCATATGCATTTCACAGATTCTTCACCCAACGACGTAAGTTAAAAAATATACGTATTCATTTCATGTAAGAAGGATCAATAAATATGTAATACCATTTTGAATCTAGCCTTATTTTATCTGTAAGATGATTAAATCAGTCAGCTTACTCTTTTCACTCTTCATCTTCACAATTTATAGTTTATCATCTCTGGTTTGTAAGTTAACGATGTACGCATTTGTTTACGATTCAAAAAAAACAGCTTCATTATTACTATGGTGATTAGCATGCCAGTCTTTTTTTCCCTTTACCTGTCACACTATGATTTCATCAATTCATATTAATGGGTGTTTTATGTATAATTCATTGACAGAGGAGTATTCACTTGATGAATACTTTCATATCTCAATTAATGTTATTGAAAATCAAAAGGCAGCAATTAATTTGATTCCCTCTACAATAATTTTACCCAAAGCTGAATATGATTCTTCTGCATAATTCTGAAGAATCTTCAGAGGGATTTCTTTAGTATAACATTGAATATGGGACAAGAAAAACTAGAAATATTATGATTATTGTTATTTATCAGAGTTTCAATTTATTATAATTGTTTCCTTTAATTCCTAGAGGAACATAGGGCTTCAGCCGTGCGTCTCCATTGTGTTCGGTTGTCTTCTAGAGTCTTCACCTGGCTCCAAGTCTGCCCACACGTTTTCATCTCCCATTCACATGGCCTCCTCCAAGTCACCCTTGAACGAACAACTCGCCGCTTCCCTTTCGGGTTCCACTCAGGCAATGGTTTGTCTAGTGATGTCACTTGATGGTTTCCTCAGAGTATAACCAGCCAATCCGTCTCCATTTCCTCCTGCCTATTTGTTTCACAATCGGATCCTGGTTGGTTCGCTCATTGCCAGAGATCTCTGTTGCCGATCTTTTCTGACTGGCCATCTGATCTCGAGTATTGAGCGAAGACAACTGTTAATGAAGGTCTGTAGTTTGTTTGAGATGCTCTTTATGACGCGCAGTGCAAGTGTCTGATCCGTATAGTAGCACTGACTGACTTCACATTGGAGTTGAAAATCTGGATTTTATTTTTGATGCTGAGTGCTGTTGACCTCCACACGGACTTGAGAGTAGTGAAAGCTTGTCTTGCTTTTCCGATTCTTGCTTTGATATCCTCGTCAGTTGCGTTGGCCTGTAGTTGAAACGATGCTTCCCAGGTCTGTTGGTAAAGGAGGTTGTTTCTTTCAGGTTCCTCCCATTTATAGTGATTGTTGTCTGTTGTTGTTACTGCTGTTGGTGGTATTGGCCAGGAATCTTCATTACATCTGTTTTCTCTATGTTCACCTGAAGTCCTATCTTCTCTGGATGCTTCTTCTGCCAACTTGTTACTTTTCGCTTGCATATCTTCCAGTTTGTGGGAAATCGGACATATATCATCGGCGAAGTCCAGATCCTCCAAGTTTTTTGTGTGAGTACATTTTATGCTTGTTTCCTCATGGCCCGCTGTTTTTTGTCACATTATCGAATCTACTGCAATCAGGAAAACCATTGGCGATAGTAGGCAGCCTTGTCTTATTCCTCTCCTCACTTCGAAGGATTCTGTAATTTTCCCGTTGTGTATTACTTGGGATGCAGCATTGTCGTACAGCTGTTGGATGAGATGTATAATTGTCGGTGGCACCCCTTGGGAGTAGCGAAGTAGTTGCCAAATCACCTCTCGATCGACGTGTTTCAATGACGACAGTTATTTCAGGTGCTTAATTTTATTCGCACAAGGGCTTCTTCTTAGCTATCTGGTGAGCATGTTGCTTGTCTGATCGCTTGTTCCCCTTTAGTTACTTCTCTTTCCTATAACTGCAAAATTTACATGAGTCGACTTTTTTAAAATTTAGGCATTGAACCAAGCAAAGAAAGCGGAAAGCTCTGATTTTGAAACGAATTAATTTCCAATTGGTCATTTACGGTTTTAACCAACTATGCACACACCACCAGATGGTTATTCAACAATCGCATGCAAGAAATGAGTTGCATTGCAGGTCTGAAATTTTGATTAGTAACAGATTAATTAGTGCGTGTTTCGAATGTTTGAATCAGCCAGCAAACTTCAACATCCACTAGTCTAGTATATTCATGCATTTATTCCGCTTTATGAATTTGAATAAAGCAAGAACAACAGTGGTTTGTGCAGAATTGTATGGTACCGCTATTGTTTATATCGTTGGCTTCTCAACAGCTGCTGCTTACAGCCTTAATAAATTATTAATGAGTTTATATACAGAAACGTTTTAACATAGCTGCAGATCTTACTTGACAGGAGGTTGGTTTCCGTCTATCGGACAACATGCTCTTTGGTGCAGTCAAAAGTCAACAGATACTCTTCTCATGTTAACCCCAGATGTGTATAGAAATTTACGTGTATCTGCAGGAGTATTTACATTGAGAGAAGAGAAAGAAGGGCACACCTCCGATTCTCTGAACATCTGTTGAAAAGCTTATTCATCAAGGGAACGAACACAAGTGACTGTCATGACCTTGTGCATGATACTTTGTTGTCTGAAACGATGGATGCTGGGTGGTAAATCTTGTGCAGGATCTGTATAGATGACTTCCTAGGTAAAATGAATTAGGATACATCCCAAATACGCTAGTCCAAATGGGTTATCCGAGCAGATACGTAAGAAGACACATTGATACCGTGTATAATAAAGAGAAACCATCAACAATTAAAAAGAAAACACTGTTCCTGAAACTGCAATTTAATTGGTATGTGGCTAGTAAAGTCTTACATCTAAGATTATCGAGAGCAAAATAATTGACTTATACTGCCGCCACGCTTTGTTTGTCGTTTTCCAGCCGACCAATTATCATTACTCAGGCGAAGGACAAGCTGCCCAACTACCACTTCTGGGTGTTTCTACTAATTTAGCTGCTCTTGCGGAGAAAGCTTTATAGAGCGAATAACTAGACAGTTCAACAAACGCATTAATGAGCATCTCCTTTCATGGTTCGGAAAAAGCCAAATAAAATCTATTTTGACTCATTTGATTGATAGCGGTCACCAAGTGGACAGAAGTAGTGCCTTCAAAGTTATCTATCGCATTCCATCGAGCCTTTCGAATGGAATTCGAACCCGCCTTTTACACATAGTGGAAACTATGGGAATTCTAGAGAAGAGACCTAGTTTTTACACAGAAAAGAAGTTTGTTCTACTTATTTCTCTCCCTTAGACTAGATAAAGTTTAATTAAAATCCTACCACCCTTTCTTATTTTCCATTTCCTTCGTGTTGTTTTAATGATATTTATTTGAACTCTGATTATCTGTTAACTTCACTTTTAGTATTACGTAATTTTTCAGATTTGACCTAATTTATTTATTTATTGAATTGTCTACATATACACATATTACTATCTTCGTTATTCTTATCGCCACCTGCATAAACCTTATTTTCAATATTTTGTGGTCATTATAATCATCGTAATTAATGTAATTCAAAAAATTAACCATATTGTTATTATTTGATCCACAAAGTCACCGTCATTGGTTTAAATTTTTATAGATAAATCTATGTAAATTAGAATAAAGCCTGAAGAATATATAATTGAAAACAATATTGTTCGTTTATGTTTTGTTCTAGTATTAACAATGGGAATGTATTCAAAGATTTATGATTTGAGTTGAACTCAGTACATTGTTACGTAATCTATTAATCACTCATCATCTTGCGCACCTCCCCTCTTTATTACGTAACTCTTTTACCATTGTACGCATACATTTACTTTGTCTAAACTTGAACTCCCAGTGTAAAAACTATATGAGCGTAATTTTCTGAGCACTGTTCACTAAGATCGGAATCTCGTGTCAATGTTATATCAAATAAAATTTGCAAATATGTTGAAACTTTTATGTATATAAACTTAATAATTTATTAAGGCTGTAAGCAGTAGCTGATGAGAAGCTAACGTAATAAACAATGATGGTACCATATTATTCTGCACAAACCACTGTTGTTCTTGCTTTATTCAAGATCTAGTATCTCCTGCCATAGATTTGTTGTGTCTTTTGTGAGTATCTCATTTAGAATATTAGTTCAGTCAATATCATGACCTTGCTTTTCTAGATCTATAAGATTAATTATTACATGCTTCCAGTTTCAAGGAAACCGACAGCCAGTACTGATGAGTTTCAGATATACAGCCAGATGGTTAAATAAGTACCAGTTGTTCGTTCAAAACAAAATCTCGATTACTTGAGGTGATTAGGAAATATGTCACGCATATTTATGCGCTATCTGTTTAAGTTCGTTATGAAGTACTTTGTAGGAAGGTGAAGCGTGGCTAGACCGACCGATAAAGTCGTTGACTCGTAGTTCGAATCTTGTGTAGAGATGTAGAATGATTGGTTAAGCTCCACGTAATCCCGGAAATATTTGCTTTATGACTAAAGGTTATACAGCTCCAAATCGATCTCAGTAGCTCAGATCTACTCATAGTTTATTTTTATCTTATCAGTTTTTTCCTCTCTGTTTAACCTTGCTCTTTTCTGTGTCTTTTATGAATGTTGATGCCTCAAGTTTCACAATTTGGTCTTTTATGTTATTCTCCTGCACTGTGCGTAGGTTCCAAGTTCTGTCTTATACTGCTACTACTTGTCTGTGTGTGTGTGTGTGTGGGGTCTGTATTTTCTTGTCAGACTAAAATGAAATTCATGTAGTTTTCCAAGTTCAGAAGGGGAATTTTCTTAAGCTCTATTATTCAGACAACTACAGAGAATTAATTAGAAACTTTAAAATTTCAAATGTTCATCGTTGATAAAGCTTTCTTTCAGATGTATTTTTAGATTGAGATTCTAATTACTGTTATATAATCAAATTGGATTTTTTTAATGTCGCACGCTGCTAAATTGATTTTCTGTGCTAAATTTTTATATTTTATTATTGTTAGTGTTATTACACTAGATTTGATTTATTTATATTTGGTAACTATTCCATGTGACTAGTTGACTAGATTGTATTATTTAGTCATTATCAGAGAGATAAGTATGAATTGAAATTGACAGGCTATAAATAATAAAAGTATATTTCATATTTTTATAAGTATGAATGTGTTAAGGATCCATTGTTTATATGGATGTTTAGTCCCCATTCGATTTTCAAGTGGCTACAACACTTGGTTATTTCAAGTACACATCTAAAATTATTGTTGCCATCATATACTTTAAAATAGGTTTATGATTAAATAAAGGCGTCTATTGTTATAGAAACTATTCAGCACACAAGATTTCATTGGTTACTTGATTTCATTATGAGCTGACAACGGTTAGGGAAGTATTGCAAAACCAGCCGGGAGTACTAGACAGCTGTTTCGCCCTTGTTTGGGACTTTTCATTAGTACGCACTCACCGCAAGGAGTCGAAACCGGGACCTTGTGGTTACAAGGCTAGCGAGCTCGTAAACCATTAAGCCACTGGGACTCGCCCGACCCAATGGCCAGTCCATGAATTCTAACTTCTGCCAATTCACGACATAGCGTGACTACTAGCCAATATCTTCCGACTTGTTGCACTCTACTGGTCACGACTTCCCACAAGGTAACTCCTAGGTAACTACCTACCCGAATAGGTCCTGACTTCAGACAGCCAGATATTTCGATCATCTGACACCAGTTGTGACCAGCAGTGGAATCCATGATGCGCATTTTGTCCTGTTTGGGACTCGTCATCTGGATCTACCTGTACCCCACCCCCAGTGAGTGGTGGCTTTCCCACTGAGACTCGAACCCAGTGCACATAGTTTCAAACACCAAAGTGTTATCCACTAGACCACTTGGGCTACGAGAAGTTACATGGCCAGACAAAGTCGAAGCATCTGCACAAGGAGCCGACATGTCGACCTGAGGCTGAATACTTCGGTCCAATCAGTTAATGAGAAAGTTTAAATTGAATTAAATAATTATCGAATGTACTGGTTACATAAAACAGCATATATTTAAGTATCTCCTTATATATGATTATCATCTAGATTTATTGATTTTTTTGTTCTTCATTTTTAGATCTTTCAAAAGAGGTCTACCAGGTGAGGTTTAATTGCCACGGCACTGTGTACAGTATGATCGCTTAAATAGTTTTCTTTTCTGTAGCATTTAATATGTTCAATTGAAAATTGATTTATTTTTAATACAGGAGTTAAATGCAGTACTGATTTTCATATAACTGTCCTTTGAAAATTTCCATCTTGTACTTTCATTTTCAATGATGTCGATTAGCCAAATTTTCAACTGACTGAATTACCTACTTTGTTGTGTGAAAAATTTGATTTCCACTGAAAAACACTACAAGGCTTCACATAACAAGATTACACTGTGAATTCGTAAAAATCTCTTTATAAAGCTGCAATACATCGAGTTGAATAGGGACATCGAGTTGGACATGGACTCAGTGAGATTACGCAATCACTAGGCTACCTGTTTCCCCCAGCCCGCTCTACCTAAGCGAGAACAACACACGACAACGTGAGATGCAAAGTAACAGCAGGTTTACGAAAGGAAACGATGATGTCTATATGTAAAGGCCGACGACGTAGGCATGAGGGATTTCCATAAAAGGATGTATAACCATTTATGGTTTGTTTCTTAACTGATCTTGATAGCCATATCAATATGGTATATGTTCAGATAGGTGAATGAAAGCACGTAATATGAGAGCAACACTTACCACTTGAAATAATATTTCATACTTGTCTGGCCTGCAGTTAATCTTGAATGTAAGTGTAGAACTTGGGTACTGTAGTAGAATGTAATTCCATATTAGATAAGTTTACTTTAAATATTACACAGTGATGCAGTATTAACATCTGGAGGACAAGGTTTTGAGCAAAAATTATTGCTCATAATCATATCAATTTAGTCACACTGCCTCACAATTTGTCTTGTAGTGAGAGCTGTCTGCAAGCCAAAGTTGTAAACAACAATTTATGTCAATGTTTACGTCCCGAATCGGGGTGATGAGAAAAAACAAGAACAAAGCCTAACCTTGAGGAACTCAACAACAAATCACAGCAGACTTAACGTGGGCAGATATATGGCTTAACTTTCTAAGAAACGTCCACAAGCAGTACATAATAACATTCAGCAGGAAAACAACCAATCAGAAGACGTTGCTTCTATGCTAACAATAACAAATTGTAATGTACATAAAGATCTATAAATATCTGTCGATTTTCTCAATAAAGGATGTGTTGCCTGACCCTTGTCTTCTGCTGTTACAGTCTCATATGTGTCTCTTCCATCTCAGTGGTAGATGTAATCCAATTCTGCTGTAGGAAACGAACAGGATGAGTTGGTAATGCCAAACTGTAGAATGAAACGAAAACAAGACGGTAGGTTAGATACTAGCATTTATTGAAAAACCGACACACTCTAATTAAAACTTAGACTTCAATTCATCCCATCCAGAATCGGTAAAGACAGGTTTAGTTAAATATCTATATGATCGGGTCAGGAACCTAACTAGTAAATCAGAAGATTTAAATAGTGAAATTAAACTAATAAAGGGAATATTACTAATGAATAACTGCCCACCAGAATTTACTCAGAAGTATATGAAGAATACTAGAAAAGCTAAGATTGTCAATAAAAATGACGTAAGTAATATAGAGTTCAAAGCCTCTGTAGTACTGCCGTATAAAGAAAGAATATCAGAGGCCTTACGTAGGATTCTCAATGAGGCTGGAATTAGGGTAGCATTTAAATCAACCAACCAACTCATTCTCTCAGAGGTAAATTTTGTCGGCTTAAGGACCCAATAGATCCTATTAAGAAAAATAATGTAATTTACCAAATACCATGTAATGACTGTGAGTGAGGTCAATAACATAGGTCAAACTAGTAGATAGTAGTCAACTAGATTACCGGAACATAAAAATTTAGCTACCCATAGAATAATTGACCCTGATAAGTTAAATAATCTAGAGAAAACAGAGTTCAGCCATTGCACTGCATTTACTTGCATATAATCACAAAATCACTGAAGCTTTGTTGTTTATCGATTCAACACCGCACACGTGCATTCGAAACGACGCAACGGCTATGCTGGAGACATGGAAAGTGGCAACAAAGCGGAAGATGGAAAGAGAGAAGATACATATGATACAAATTGTGAAACCGTGTGACTAATTTGAGATGATTATGAGCAATAATTGATTCGCTAAGTGTAATCCACTTAATCCTTATCAGTATTACAAAGTATGCTATATTGGTTACTGTTTTGTTGCATCCTATATGGTTTACGGTGCTGGCTAGGACAATGCTTCTTACAAACTAACTACTTACAGTGTGAATGATAACAAAAATATTGTAACCGACATCTTTTTTGCTGCTGTGAAAATCTGTCCGAGTTTTGTTTTTATCAATGTAAACTAAGCTGTTTTCTTGTCTACGCTATTTCTTTTTTTCTGGCAGCATCAAGAAAATGGTGAGTACAATGAACATCTCTTTTGTATTAAATGAATACAGTAAAAAATTCAATATAAATTGACGAGCATACGTTGTGATTTCATAGGATTTCACCCATTTATATTTTATCGCGCCCCATATTACTGTGACTGACATTTTATAATCTGATTTACCCTATAATTTTTTTTCTATAAAACATACTTTTGTAATAGCTTCCATCCCATTATACTCAATAGGCAAATTTAAAAACTAGATACATCTTTGATTGATTTGTGTGCCTTAATTCTACCTAGCCTACAATAGATAAGTACATTGGATATCATCCTAGCTACCGAAGTTTGAATAACCTAGGCGTTAAATAAATTGTTGAGTTCACTTTCTTATGCACTAGGCTGCATAGTAATCCTAAATAAATATTTCAGACTCAACAACCTGCTGGGTGCGTAGGGATGAAGAGTCCCAAACTAGAACTTAGGAAACAGCTGTCCAGTACTCCCAGCTGGTTTTCCATTGCTGCTCTAACCGATTTCAGCTCATGATGAAATCCTGTAATAATAAAGTCAATTAAGAAATAGTCTCACATTACTCAATGCATTGAACGATAAACAAATAATTATCATTGTTCCCTTGGGTTCCTAGTGGAACATAGGGCTTCAACTGCACGTCTCCACTTGCTTCTGTCTTCTGCTGTACTTTTCACCTGCATCCATGTTGATCCATACTGCTTCAGTTCCTCTTCACACGATCTCCTCCATGTCACCCTTCGACGTCCCACTCACCGCTTCCTTTTCGGGTTCCACTCGAGCGTTGATCTGACGCGCGATGTCACCCAGCGGCCTCCTCAGCGAGTGTCCAATTCATCTCCACTTTCTCCTGCATATTTGTTGGGCGATTGGTTCTTGTTTTGTTTGTTCCCATAGTTTCTTGTTGGTGATTCTTTCCGGCTGGCCATCTGATCTTCAGTATAGAGCGAAGACAGTTGTTGTTGATAAAGGTCTGCAACAGGCTGTTGGAAATATTCTTGGTGGCCCACCAAGTTTCTGATCCGTATAGAAGAACTGACTGACTTGACGTTTGTATTGAAAATCCGAATTTTGTTGTTGATGCTGAGTGATGAAGATTTCCAGATTGGTTTCAGGTTGATGAATGTGTTTCTCGCCTTCCCGATTGTCGATTTGACATGCTCGTCCGTTCCTCCTGTAGTTGAGACAATGCTCCCTAGATAAGTGGATGAATTAACCTCTTTCAAATCCCTCCCGTTGATGGTGATTGGCGCTGGATGTTGCTGTTGTTGTTGTTGTTGTTGGTTGTTTTCATAACCTCCGTCTTGTCTATGTTCACCTGGAGTCCTGTCTTTGCTGCTTCTTTGACCAGTTTGTCGGTTTTCGCTTGTAAGTCTTCGATTTTGTGTGACATCAAACACAAGTCACCCGCGAAATCCAGGTCTTCTAGATTCTTCACGTCAGTTCAGGATATCCCTGTCTTCTCGTTTCCCACTGTCTGACGCATAATCCAGTCGACCACAATTAGGAATATCATTGGTGATAATAAGCACCCTTGTCTGACTCCCGTGCTTACTCCAAACGCCTCGCTGAGTTTTCCGTTGTGGATCACTTGACATGTTCCGTTGTCGAACAGCTGTTGAATAAGGTTGATGAATATTTGGGGTACGCCGTAGTACTCGAATAGTTTCCAAATTACTTCGCGGTCAACGCTGTCTAAGGCCTTCTAAAAGTCTATGAAGTTGAGGTAGAGATTTGATTGCCATTCCATGCTTTGTTCGATGACGATGCGTAGAGTTGAAATTAGGTCAGAACATGATTTGCCTTTGCTGAATCCAGCTTGTTGTGGCAGATGGAGTTCTGTATCCAGTGAGTTCTTTATCCTCTCCAGGATGATGCGACTCAGAATTTTACTTGGCGTCGACAGGAGCATGATTCCTCACCAGTTCTTGCAGAATCCTAGGTCGCCCTTCTTTGGTAGTTTCTTTATCCGGGCTTGGGACCGGCTGGAAAACTAGCGAGCTAGTAATCTAGGCAAGGTTAATGATAAACACAAAATCCTATTAATTATTTTTCTAATTAGTGTAATTTAATTTTCTGACTTGTAGTTACTGAATAATTCCCAGCTGTTTTGACTGAATAGTAAGAATCATAGAGGAATAAGGATAATTTAACATCAGCACAGTTATATTGCTGTTTCATTGTAATGGATAATAGTCATTTTTGTCATAACTTGTGATCAGGTTTTGTTGTAGCCTTTCTGCTGTTACAATAACCCCTCCAACTACGTCAGGTAATGTTAGCTTTTCTGAAGACAAATAACTAACGGATTATGCTTGACAATGTTTAGCATAACAATCAAAAAATCAAGTCTACAAATTATTTCACTGACAAAAGCATTTAAAAGATATTCAAGTATTGTTGGTATTAGATGGTTGGAGGCAATCGGCCATAGAAAGCCTTCGACCTAGGTTTCGTCCTAGTTGGTGCTCATCAGCAAGGCGTATCTGCAACCTTGCAGGAAATCATGTTTCTTCTGAGATTCGAAACCGCATCACCCAGTGAGCTCTGCAGTCAGAGACGTTACCAGCCACTGAGCTATTCGGGCTCACGATTGACCTCCTGTAGGACTGTATTGGATATTTTTCATTGCACACTAGTCAGTAACTAGTGTAATGTGTCTAGTCCTACCTTCGCTGCAGACTGAATTCTATCAGTCAAGCTTGCAATATAGCCACCATGCTAGGTGGCTCGCCATTATGGTGCACTGTGAATTGACTGGTAGAATTCAGTCTGTAGCGAAGATAGGACTAGACACATTACACTAGTTACTGACTAGTGTGCAATCAAAAATGTTCAAGTATTGGTTTTTAGGGATTTGGTTGATTGGTTGCAGGATTTCATCATGAGCTGACATGTGCTAGAGAACCATTAGAAAATCTGGGAGTACTGGATATCTGTTTCGTCCTCATCACAGCACTCACCGACAGTAGTTCTGGCATGAGGACAAATACTCGCCGGAGACATTGGCTAGCGGCTACGCTATGTTGTGAATTGGCTGGCCATTGGGTTGGGCGGGTCCCAGTGGCTTAATGGTCGACGAGCTCGCTAGCCTTGTGACCAGAAGCTCCTGGGTTCGAATTCGGTGGGTGTGTACTGCTGAAGAGCCCCAAATTGGGCTGACGAAGCAGCTGTCCAGTACTCCTAGGTTTTCCAGTGGCTCTCTAACCGATGTCAGCTCATTATGAAATCCTGTAACCAATTTAAAAGATAGTATATTATACCCAATGAATGTTAATTACGTTTACAAGCGCTTACGTCTGATACTGTTGATAGAATAATTTCATCAGAACTAGTATCTTTTCTTATTAGAATTCTTATTGTTAACATGGAGATAATTCTTGCTTTGAATGTTTCCTCCTAAACGGAAAGGGGAATTAGTCATTGGAACGCCATCAGAAATTAAACATGTTTGTTATGAACTACCTTCCGTTGTCGATTAGTAACGTACATTGAGTTTCAATTGAGTTATGCAGCTTAGCTCTTAATCATGTTGGTGGTACAGCGGTTAGGACGCTCACCAACCATGCACATGGTTCGGGGTTCGATCCCCAGCCGACGCACACACCTGATTTCGGCCTGCTAAATTTGGGCTATCGATATCACATACTTAAAATTCTATACTTGTACCAAAATACCGTGTGGAATCAAGCTATAATAAAATAAATAAATAAATAATCTGACTTCAGTCAGCTACTGTTTTGCTGAGCTATGCTGTGAATAAATGGGATGTAGCTGCTCAGTTCTAAGCTTACTGAACTGGAGATAAGGAGAATATGATCATTTGAGACTGCATGCCATAACCTTCCTTTGACACACTAACAATTATGTAATAGATAATGATTCCAGCTAACAGTTTTCTGTCACAAATCAACTCACAAAGTAAGATTTGGATTAAACCTCATTACAGTTGGTCACATGCTCGTCAATTTTAACTCAATATGATTATAGATGATGTAGAAATACATATGAGCGGTCAGTCGCCTCTCATTCACTCATGTGACGGCTCAGTGATCGAAAGAAAAGAAATTGAGTTTTAATATCATTATAGACTTTTCTAATCCTTCTGTAGTGTCCCGTGATTTTAACTATTAACGTTTTCAGTTATCTTTTAGAGATGTTAGCTGTTGCACTTCAAAGACTGATAAAGTGGTCAAATTGATAAATAAAACTGAAATTTTTATCAAAAATTCATTTCTGTCTTAGGATTAATTTGTCATACTGCGTGTGTGTGTGTGTGTCAAAAAACATGGAAAAATGATAACCGTTTTATTTTATCGATTCTGTACGTTTGGTATCAAACTAGCAGCATTAAAAAAACAGCTGTCATTTGTTTCTATATTATTCCAATGATATCTGGTATAATGTCTGTGAATATCACCTTCAACATGTAGATTCCATATTCTGAATAATTGGGTTTTAGTAATGTTTTTTAATCTTTCTATTAGATCATTGAAAAATCAGAAATATTTGTAACTAAATAAAAGATAATTTAATGAATAGTACTCACTGTTACTGCAGAAATTTCTTTCAACTTTATCATATAGTGTGTTGATGATACCAATGACAGTCTTATCATGAGTTGATATCAGTTAGAGAACCATTGGAAAATGAGTAGGAGAGGTGTGTCGTCCTACTTTGGGACTCATCGGCAGCACCCACTGGGTCTCGAACTAAGAGCCTTCCAGTTACAAGGCAAGCTTGTAGACCATTCAGCCATTGGGTCCCGACTCAATGGCCAAGGAATTCTAACTCCTACCAATTACTGATTATAGCGAGACCACCAACCAATATCATCGGCGAGTATTTATTCTTACTCCCGACAGGATGAACCACACTAGTCACAATTTCTCAACAGAACTCCAGGAAGCTCCATCCTGCAGCCAGTTACTAGTGAGCATCAGATTAATTCTCAAGAGTTGATTTGTAGGGATCTGATTTGTTTTTACGAGTTTGACTATGGATTGATATCATTTAGAGAACCATTGAAAAGTAGGAAGTAGTAGACAGCTGAATGATCTGTGGGCTCTCCTTGTAACCAGAAGGTCCTGGGTTCGAACCCCGGTGGGTTCGTACTGCCGGTGATTCCCAAACTAGGTTGAAGCAGCTGCCCAGTACTCCCTGGTTTCTAGTGCTTCTCTAACTGATATCGATCCGCGGTCAAACTCGATAAACAAATCTAATCCTTACAAATCAACTCTTGAAAATTAATCTGATGCTCACTAGTGACTTGCTACAGGAGGAAGTTTCCTGGAGTTCTAGTGAGAAGTTGTCACTGGTGAGGCCCATCCAGTGGGGAGTGAGGATGGATTTCCCGCCGATGACACTGGTTGGTGGTCGCACTAAATCACGAATTGGTAGAAGTTAGAATTCATGTGTTGGCCATTGAATCGAGTCCCAGTGGCTGAATAGTATAGGAGCTTGCTTTGTAACCAGAAAGTCCTAAGTTCGAACCCTGGCAGTGGGTGCCTACTAATGAAAAGCCGCAAAATAGGACGACTCAGCTATCCAGCACTCCCAGGTGGTTTTCCAATGATTCTCTAACCATTGTCAACTCATTTTCATTCCTGTAACCAATGAAATTCCTGCAAACTAACACTTGCTACTAATGGTGGCCTATCAAAATAAATCAAATTATGGAGTAAGCTTAACACGGACTAGTCATCTTCCCTATTTATGACTGTTTTCACCAAAAACGTACAAAATACGGTTTCTTATAATCTATTAACACTTTAAAACTTGTAGTTGGAATACTCTAAGAAAATTGTTTATTAGCTGACATGAATGTGGTTAGAGACCATTTACTATACTAGGCTTTAATCACTACAAAAATTTCAAGATATCGATAGGCCAAATGTCTTCTTTTTATTCCTTCATGTTCCCAGTGGAACATAGGGTTTCAAGCTGGAGGCCTGAAGTTTCGGTAGCAGCAGTGTTTATTTTTACAGGATAGGGTTGCTAGCCTCACGCCCAACCTCTCCTTTTTATCAGTCTTAGTACTGGTTGAGCGACGTAAAGGTGTGCGTCGGTGGTTGAGGGTCGAACCCCGGACCACATGAGGCGTGGTTAGCGAACATTCTACCTCTGTGCCACCGACACACCCAAGTGTCTTGGTGTAACTAATGTTTGGCTGAATATTTTATCGCATAATTAGATATAGAAAATTATGAACGAGATTTTTTCCACTTACAGCTGAATAACAACTTTTTCTAGGATCTTTTCTATAAAAAATTATCTCTACAAGTTAGTTTCCAATTCTAACTTACTTCTCTTTATATCTATAACAATATATAATGCGTTTTTTCTGTATTTTCTTCTAAATGTACTCGCGTTAGTTCTTTACCACTCCGACTGCCTAAAGACAATGGAGAAGGAAGTTCAACTGCTAAAAGAAAAGGTATGTTAATGTTCCATTCGTTTTATTTGAATTTGTAATAAATTGCATAATGAGAGAAAGAATCCCTTCCTCACCCCCCCACCACCACCTACCATATACTCATGATTTCAAGGCAATATGAATAGAATGTATAGGAAAAATAATATTCCAAAACAATGCAGAAAATATACTATCAGTAATTAATTATTTTGTAATAAAAACAGTCGGTAACACCCAAAGCTGTCACGAAAATGTTAGAAACTCTTCAATGTGCAAAGAACCTCTACTGCAACTTTAAAACGATAGTAAATATAGTTCCCCTCTGTATAGGATTCAAATCTGACCTCGTAAAAAAGAAATAGCAGTGTGGTGAGAGCTGTCTGCAAGACAAAATTGGTAGACAGCAATTTACGTCAATGTTTATGTCCCAAATCTTGGTCATGAGAAAGAAAACAAGAACAAAGACTAACTCAACAACCAATCACAGCAGACTTTGCGTGGGCGGATACGATTAGCAGATTTATCAACGGGCTGTCTAAGAAACGGACACAAAAAGAGATGACAGAATAACCTTCAACAGGGAAACAACCAATCAGAAGATGTTGCTTCTCTGCTAACAATAACGCTAATAATAATGTACATAAAAATCTATAAATATGTGTTGATTTTCTCAATAAAGGATCTGTTGACTGGCCCTTGTCTTCTGTCGTTACAGAGGATAATTATTTCTTAATTAGTAATAATATAACCTGTTATTTTTCTCAATGTTGAAATCTAAACAGATTTTATTTGTTGTTACAAGTAAAGTTTCTCAACTTTTCAGAAATAAGTATACACTTTTTAAGGGTTGTTGATAACTCTCCAATACTAATTGAAGGTTTCAAATAGTCAGTGTTGCGTCGGTGGTTCAGCGGTAGAATGCCCACCAACCATGCGTGTGTTCCAGGGTTTGATTCTTGGCCAACGCACTCCTTTACCTCGCTAAGCTGGTAGTAATCTCAATAAAAATAAAGAGTAGGGTGTGATGCTAGCAATCCTACTCCGTAAAACTAAAACCGCTGCTACTGTAACTCCAATGCTGAAGCTAAAATTCCTGTGTTCCACTCGGATCGCGAAGGAATATAATTTAAAAAATAGTCATTGTTATCAAAAACACTTGTTGACTATCGTAGTTCATTAATTAATATTTAGACTGAAAATATCTCCCGTAGAATTTATATGAATCATACTATGCCTTTCTCGAAGGAAGCGGTAGGTGGATTTCACAAAGAGGATAGTTTGTATATAATCAGCGGTTTGAAGGGTTGTTCAGATAGATAGGCGGTGGATATTCTTTTATTTCTCGTGTTTTCTAGCAATGCAATAAAGGGCGCACTCTTCGTCCTTCCTTAGTCTTGTCAGTTGGATTCACCTGCACCCCAGTGAAACTCGAGGCCCACACACGCATCATTTTCAAGTCTACTGCTCGATATAAATCGGTTAGATAACGTCAAGTTTACCTCGATATGTCATTGAATCTTCTGTATTTGGAGTTCAGACTTGTCAGCAGAGATCGAGCACTTCAGCCGAGTGATGAAGTCAAAATATCCGGTATTTGAAACAAGTTTCAACAAATTGTTTTAGAAAGCACTTATAAATAGAATAGCCTAAAATCAAAACTATTTTGTATTTCATCATACTGTCTTCTCCCGTTTCACAAATTTTCCCTGTGCAACGAACAACATATTTTTCATCAGTAGCTCAAGTCAAATGATGCGTAATATACACATTTCTAGTCTTACAATTTTTGCTTATTGAATTACAGGTCTAACTCTGGCTTTACCTTCAAGTTTTAGCGAGAACAGGTAACCTTAAAGTTTCTTTTTTTACTCATGTCCTAAAATAGTGTTGCTAGTTTCTTTTATCGATAAATAATCTTGAAGCATTTTACATTTGTGTTGAGTTTATTCTTTAGTTTCATAATGCTGTTTTTTATTTCGATAAAGAAAGGCAGACGAAATTTGCAGTATAAAATTATATCATCATTCTATTTCACAGCTTCTCATCAGCCGCAGACTACTTCAATGTTTGAGTGGTGCCTAAGAGAAAATGGATAACCTAAGGGATTTATTCAAAAGTATAGTAGAGAAAAAGATAAGAAAGAAAAACACCCAACTGTAGAAAAGAAAAAAAGTGTTTATTTGTCTCCTATTCAAAGGAGATGCAGTGTCACAAAAGATTGACAAAAGGACTGAAAGGTGCAATAAAAAGAAGCTCATAACATTATACAGCACCACTTCTTCTATAAGCCACTCAGAACTGGATAAATACTCTGCTGATGTCACTTCCAACTGCGTTTATGAATTTACGTGCACTTGCGGGAGCAAGTACATTGGAAGGACAGAAAGAAGGGCTTCTATCCGGTTTTCTGAACATATTCCAAGAAACTAATTCCTGAAAGGAAGCAAATATTCTCAGAATGCAATTACCAGACATATTGTTGACACCGGACATCTCGTAGAGATTTTTAAGTCCTTCAAAATATTAAACAGACAAAGGACAGCAAATTTACTACGATTTGTCGAAGCCATAGCAATCAAACGAATCAAACCAACCAGACTTATGCCTACAGAAAGAGAGTGTGATTAGTCTCTTACTCTCTTGGTAACTGAATTTTGATTTTGACTACATTAATTAGTCATCTAATTCAGTGATCTCAACTCACTGAGCAAATCTCAGTCTTATGAACTGTAACCGCTTTTGTTTTTTGAGTTGCTACGTGAACCTACAAGCTAACACTGTTCTGTTAATCAGTTTTTTTTCTGTTTTCTGTCTTACCCCTCCCCCCTCTTTTCAACTTTAAAAGCGTATAAATTGATGATAAAAATTTAAACTAAAATTGTAATGCTTACATTTTTAACGCATCAATTTTATAGTATTTCTCCTCTACTACCAATTAAACATTAAAATATGTCATTATCATCTATATATAACCATTGTATTTTTTCAGGTAGTCTGCAGCTGATGAGAACCTGTGAAATAGTAGAATGATATCATTTTATACTGCAAATTTCGTCTTCCTTTCTTTATCGAAATTTATCAAGGGAACCAAATGTATGAAGCTTCTTTTTATCACAGTTGGCTATCAATTGTGAATATCTGTTCACATATCATCCATTATTCACTTTTCATTGTAAATATTTAATGCTGACTTGTAGTTTTAAAAGTTGTTTATTGTGTACAATATATGTGGAGTAAGTTTAGGTGTTCTAAAGTCCTGATATTTTTCTTAGTTTGTTCAGGTAGGTTGGTGGACACATTGTTCTACTTTTGATTGGACACTAGTTAGTAATTAGTGTAATGTGTCTAGTCCTTTGTTGACTGCAGACTGAATTCCATCAGTCACGTTTGCGATGTCGCCATGTCGCAATGTCACCATTCTAGGTGACTCGCTATTACTGTGAACTTTGAGTTGTTGGTATTAGATGGTTGGAGGCAATTGGCCACAGGAAGCGCTAGACCTAGATTTCGTGCTTGCTGGCTCTCACTCGCCAGTCAGCAAGGCGTATCTGCAACTGCCTTGAAGGAATTCATGTCCCTTCTGAGATTCGAACCTGTGTCACCCAGTGATTGCTACAATCAGGGACGTTACCAGCCACTGAGGTATTCAGGCTCGCGACTGACTTCCTGTAGGACTGACTGTATTGGATACTTTCGGTTGGACGCTAGTTAGTAACAAGCGTAATGTGTCTAGTACTTTGTTTGGTGCAGATGTGGGTTCGAATTTTAGAAGGGACATGAGTTATGTCGAGGTAGTTACAGAAACCCCTTGCTGACTGTTGAGTGCTAACAGGCACGAAACCTGGGTGCAAGGCTTCTTTTGCCCGATCGCCTCCAACCATCTAACATTGTTCTTCTAATAAAATCGCTTAATCAAAGTGTTACACTATTACAGCTTAAATAGTTTGGTAACGTTGAGGTATCATATGACCACTGCAATTTGTTTTGTTCAATCTCTTTCACTGCTTATAAAATTATACTATAACAACAGAAGACAAGGGTCGGGCAACAGATCGTTGATTAGGGAAAATCAACACATATTTATAGATTTTAATGTACATTATTGTAGATTATTGTTTGTAGAAAATACAGTCTTTTGATTGGTTGTTTCTCACAGAAAGTTAACCTTGCATCTCTTTGTGGCTGTATCAGACCATCCATATGCTAACTGTATCCGCCTACGCAAAGCCTTTGTTCTCATTTTCTCACCACCAATATTGGGGACATAAACATTGACGTCAATTACTGTCTACCAACTTTGGCTAGCAGCCAGCTGTCACCACAATACTACTTCGAACATAATATACTGCTTCTGTTAAGTAATTAGAGAACTGATTATTGAATGAAAACTTTTATTTTTAGTCTTCAGAAATGTGAACTAATTGATTATAAATAGGCTAGTTGAGAGAGATCTCATGTGTATAGATGTTGAGAAACAAGTCCACTTTGATAATGCTGAAGACTCTACACCTTTTGTCTGCGCACTTAGTTCAAGGTTAAGCTGATTATAACTTGTGCAGTGAATATTTGCAAGTGTGAACCAAAGGTAGGTAGGTCATCAACAAATTTCAAAAAGAGAAATATTGTAACGGGAGAAGATAAGAGACTTGGTATCATACCTTTATTAAAGAAAAACTCATCATATTTTTTTATATTACTTTTGTCCTCTGAGCTCGTTGACTTAATTGCGAAGCTTTCGTCGTCCTTCTGGGCAACATCTTCAGCTTATTCAGATTCTCCATGAGCGATGTAATTATATCTTCTAGCAACCATTGTTGTGAGTGGCTGTTGATTTACATCTCTATTGATTATTTTTTATTGACTTGGAATTTGAACCTTTTGTCATGTGATTTGCTTTTTATTAACTGATGGTAAATTTGGTTTATAATAATGTGTTTGTTATTCGCATATTCGCTTGAGTACCAGGCTTCTAGAAATTCCCTGACTGCATTTTCACTTTCAATGTCTCCTCTATATTTAAAATTTCTACATTATCTTAGCCGAATTGGTGTCGGTAATTATCTGCATGCATTGATATGAAAGAATATATATGAAATGTCTTTTTACATCCAATTTGTGTTATTGGATTCGTATTCGAAGGGGACATCCACTTCAACCTGTATAATGTTTATCGCAGTTCATACAACTTATTTTGTAAATGGCATTAATTTTATCTTCTTTTCCTGTTGGATCTTTCGGTTTGCACAATATCTAATGAAGTGATTGTGCTGGCTGGCTGGCTTGTGTACTATATCTATTTCAAACGGTCTTAATATTCTAGATGTGAGTAATTACGCACAAAAGAAAATGCGTGCAGACGTTGTTTAAAATAGTTCAAACACATTGTGGCACTCCGATGTTGAAGAGAATGAAAGGAAAATGCCATCAAAAAGTGTTTAAACTGGAATCATAACACCAACAAGAAACCATCATCAAAGATCACAAGAAAATTCATTCTACCATAAATAACAGATTGGTAGGAGGAGAATAAATTGCTCTGATTGGCTGGAAGTTGGCCCAAGGTTAAACAAATTATCCAATGAGGTTTTTCCATTCCCAAATTGTAAACTAAAGCCAAATTTGAGGAATAAACACTTGTCTCTTAATTAAAATGCTGATTTCAGGTTAGGCTGACTTCTATCAACCCAAATCATGCCACAATGTTACCGTGTGACTCTAATAACTCAGTCAATTCGTAAATCATTGTGAATTTTTATTGAGTTACCGTGATTTCACACCCATCGTTATCTCTGTGTGTGTATGAATAGTCTGTGTTTACGTGTTTATTACCTAACATACGAGCTATCGATAAACATTTTATTTTATAGCTAATACAAATCGAATTAACTAAAGCATTTTAATATATAATCAACATTAAAATTACAATTGGATGTTCAAGGACAACATTCCTAGCATGTATTTGATACTTAGTGATGTGTAGTAATTGTAATGATGTATGCGCATATGAATTTTGTCTCATGACGCTTAATACAATATACAGTGTAGTGTATTAGTAAAACTAACCTTTATTAGAATTTCACATATGCGATTTATTTATTTATTTATAGAATAAACTAAATCTATCGATTTATGAATGTCATTGTGTATTTAGGTCTATGTGTTTATATCCATGATATCGAAATAACTTGTTATTAAACTGTTTAAGTATTATTCATTCTCAATTTAACGTTATTTTAAAAAATAAATAAAAATTGTTAAATAAATACTGGCTTATGATTCTGTTGATATTATTCTCCATACTATAACAGTTTGTGCATCTGGCCAGCCATGCAGCCAGCCAACTGTCAATAATTCCAGTTGACTTCTATTTTACACAAACAAACACAATCAAAGACTGTATATTATCGATTGAATTTTCGCTAAGGCCAATATCCTCTCAATTCAAAGTGTATTTTTGTATCGATCAGTGATGTTGTTGTTGTTGCTTTTTGGCTCTTAACATCAACCTCTTATTGCATATCATTATAAAAAGCTAACTCGAATCACTTAAGATCTGATTTGGATTCGTTTCAGTCATCTGATGTACTACAATTTAGATACTGTTGGTGAATGAGTAGATTATAAGTAATCCAGTTGAATTAACCTAGCGAAAACTGTATCCCACTCTTGTTTTCATTTCGTTTATTGATGAGTAGTATAGAGTAATCTTTTTCCTGTATGAAATATTATTGTATTATTGTTATTGTTCCCTTGGGTTCCTAATGGAATATAGGGCTTCAACTACACGTCTCCACTTGCTTCTGTCTTCTGCTGTACTTTTCACCTGCATCCATGTTGATCCATACTGTTTCAACTCCTCTTGACACGATCTCCTCCATGTCATCCTTGGATGTCCCGCTCGCCGCTTCCCGTTCGGGTCCCACTCGAGCGTTGGCCTGACGCGCGATGTCACCCAGCAGCCTCCTCAGCGAGTGTCCAATCCATCTCCACTTTCTCCTGCACATTTGTTGGACGATTGCTTCTTGTTTTGTTTGTTCCCATAGTTTCTTGTTGGTGATTCTTTCCGGCCGGCCATTTGATCTTCAGTGTAGAGCGAAGACAGCTGTTGATAACGGTCTGCAACAGGCTGTCGGAAATATTCTTTGTGACCCGCCAAGTTTCTGATCCGTATAGAAGAACTGACTGACTTGACGTTTGTATTGAAAATCCAAATTTTGTTGTTGTTGATGCTGAGTGACGAAGATTTCCAGATTGGTTTCAGGTTGATGAATGTGTTTCTCGCCTTCTCGATTCTCGATTTGACATCCTCGTCCGCTCCGACTGCCTGTAGTTGAGACAATGCTCCCTAGATAAGTGAATGAAGTAACCTCTTTCAAATCCCTCCCGTTGATGGTGATTGGCGCTGGATGTTGCTGCTGTTGTTTTTGTTGTTGTTGGTTGGTTATTTTCATAACCTTCGTCTTGTCTACGTTCACCTGGAGTCCTGTCTTTGCTGCTTCTTCGACCAGTTTGTCGGTTTTCGCTTGTAAGTCTTCGATTTTGTGTGACGTCAAACATCCTATATGAAATAGTCCTTTCATAATAAAAATTAAACATTGTGCGAATTTAACTTAATTGAATTTTATACTTTCCCGTCGATTGATTGGACCAAAGTGTTCGGTCCCAAGTTGACATGTCGACTTCTTGTGCAGATGCTTCGACGATGTCTAGGCATTTAGTTAGTATTTAATTGGTGGATGTTGGACTAGCAGTGAAATCCAGTCAGGATAACGCGCATTTCGTCCTATTTGGGACTCATGGCCCAATTGGTCTAATGGATAACGCTTTGGCGTTTGAAAAACTATGGACACTGGGTTCGAGCCTCGGTGGTGGGAACATCATCACTCACTGAGAAATGCAGGTACATCTAGCTGGCGGACGAGTCTCAAATAGGACGAAATGCGCGTTATCCTGGCTGGATTCCACTGCTAGTCACCATTCACCAATTAAATCGTGAGAATTATGTTTCAGTGCTATAATATTGACATCTTTCGTTACTTTTACAGTTCCAGTGTATCAATCAACCCTGCATGTGAGTTTTGTATTGTTATTGTTTAATGTTTTTATCATTGGAAACATTTTATTTTTCGATACGAATTTAAAACAAACAATACAGGTTAATGAAGTAGGATTTAATGAATTCATAAAATTTCGGTAGAACTCACCTTCATATGAATACTCTACATACAGGGATATATATATTATTGGAAATACATTGGGAGATATAAGACTGATAAGCAAATAAACTATATTGAATTAATCATGTGAAAAGACTCGTGTGTGAATGCTTTCCAGGTCATGTTTTCAAACAGATAAGGGGAAGGGAGTAAGAGATATTAAAATTGGGATAAAATTATTAATATATATCACGATTAACAATAATAGTAATAATAATGTTCAAACGAGTTAAGATAATGCTACTGATAAAAGATAGTTTTAAATGAATCAGGAATAATAATAAGAGGTAGAATGAAGTGATAATAACAGTTAATAAGTAAAACATATTCCCATGGTAGATTCAGAGTGACCACCATTTCCTTTTGTACACAGAGTCCTGGTTTATAAACGCTAATTGTATAATCTCCAGCCATTGCAAGCATCTTCATGTTTCTTTCTCTGCTGACAATAACGGTAAATAACTTGACAGTGTCGATATCATGTCCGTAGTCTACAAGGTGCTTGGTTATTGAACTTCTTGGCATTTTAACTTTAGGTGTTTTAAAACATTAATGTCAGTAAAAAGTCTGAGCATCGTGGAACAGATCAACACTTGAAAAGAAATTATAATTATATTTCAATAGTTTGCACACAATAAGTTTTTGTTTTTTGGTAATATTTCGAGCAAAATGAATGCCCGTGATCACACCAACTGTTGGAATCGTGTTGTTTTTAATTCACACATTTATGATTTGTACTCATATATGCATAGTTCATTTTTTATTCATTCATTTTTGTGTATTCAGAATTATATTCCAGGTTGTTGACAGTTGTGCTGCTGAGTCACCCTTATTACATGTATCCGGTGTGACCTTAATGAATATAGATTCTGTTATAAGTCTCTCTTTCCATTTGTTCATGCTAGCTTTTAGAATACACACTGTTCCAATCGATATGGTGTTTTGTGTCCCATGCTGCATGTGCAGCTATAGACGAATTTACTTAAAACACTTTAGCAAGTGTTCCACCATGCTCGAATGAGATGGTGCACTACCGAAATTTGATGAATTCATTAAGTCCTACTTTATTAACCTTTGTTGCTTGCTTTTACCATTATTTTTAAATATTTAGCATTCTTCTGAAATCAAAATTTACAAGTAACAACACTGTATAAGATCCAGTTACTTTAAAAGCTGATGACAAGTTAATCAGTGAACTGCTTCTTATTTATAAAATTATATTTGTAAAATCTCAGTGAAATTGAAATGATTAATTCCAATGTTTCGTTCGGCAATCTGGTCCGAACTTCTTCAGGGAAATTAATCGAAATTAACACAACAGAGGTTTATATATAAGAGGAACATCTCTTGTTTTTGAAACTTTGTCCAATCATAAGCCACGAAACTAATTTTGAAAGTTTGAGGTCAAATTTTGATCACAATTCATACAATTTTGTTTATTATGCATACTGATGCCTGTTCCATGGCTCATGATTGGACAAAGTTTCAAAAACAAGAGATGTTCCTCTTATATATAAACCTCTGTTGTGTTAATTTCGATTAATTTCCCTGAAGAAGTTCGGACCAGATTGCCGAACGAAACGTAGGAATTAATCATTTCAATTTCACTGAGATTTTACAAATATGATTTTTTACAAATGTCTACTTCTCATTGGGCTCTCAATTATTTTGCAACTATCCGGTCAAATCTTGATCACAGTTCATATGAATGCTTCTTATTTATTACAATATATATTAGTAAAAATAATGTTCCTTTATGTGAAGCTTCAGTTTCTATTTTCGTTGCGTTAGCCTTCAACATAGTCTTTGTTCTACTAAAACCAATCAGCTGGGATAGCTTATTAAGTGAAAAAATTTCTATAGAAGATAAAAAATAGAAGGTTCCTTTGGATGTCAAAAAACTGCTCCGCTTATGCCACAAATGAGGTATATGATTGTTCTTTAAGGTGTTTGAATATAGATAATATGCAATGTCCAGCTATTTAGCTTGTAAAAGTTATAACTGTATGACCATCATTATCTTCTTAGTATTGCGCCCATTTGGTGGCAGCATTACATGAGCAGCTTGGAAGTTAACTGCATAGTCTTAAGTAAATCATGTAAGTCACTCCAGAAAAACTACAAAACTTCACTTACCATCTCTTTTAGCATCCTATGTGGAAGCAAGTAGGATTATTTTAGATGTAAGCAGTAAAGGGTGAGCGCAGATCAATATACACAAGAGCAACCCTCGCTATCACTTATTGGTATTCTTAGTCCTAGTTTAGGAGATTAAATTACTTGGCACCAGCGTGTTGACTAAAATACACTTTTTATAAACTAAGTGTTTATTCATCTTTTTTCTGACTTTGCATACCACTTTACAACCGTAGAGAAGTGAGACATATGAAATAGCGATATGCATTCATCTTATAATTGTTATTTCTGATTCAAATAGAGTCAGTTTACGCATAAAATCAGTCAGTCGATGCTTTATATAAACTGGAAAATTCTTTGCTTTCTAAAGTTACTTGTTATGACGAAATTGACTGTTAGGAATTTGTACTGATTTACTAAAAGTTAACATACTTGTAACTTAATCCATTAATATATGTAAACTCTGCCATAGCAGATTGGGTTGTTCATCACTAAATAAACAAACTGATTAAAAAATAAAAGTGTGAAAAAGGAAATTGTCTTGGTGATGATTAGTCATGAAAAAGAAGACAGGGCGCATAAAGACAGAAGTTTCAAAATACACTGCTCTTTTGGTTCTCCACTGTTTTTCCTATAGATACGTGTTACGTATACACTTAATAACACAGATATATTATGGTACACTCAGGATTGTTGTTATTAGATAGTTGGAGGCAATCGGCAGGAAGCCTTGGATCTAGGTTTCGTGCTAGTTAGTACTCGTCAGCATAGCGTATCTGCAACCCTGAAGGAACTCATGTCCCTTCCGAGATTCGAACCTGTGTCACCCAGTGAGTGCTGCAGTCAAAGACATTGCCAGCTACTGATCTATTGGGGCTCACGCTTGACCTCCTACAGGATTGTATTGGATACTTTTGACTGGACACTGACTAGTGTCATGTGTCTAGATTAATCACGAGCCCGGATAGCTCAGTGGTGACGTCTATGACTGCAGCCCCACTGGGTGACGCAGGTTCAAATCCCAGAAGGGACATGAGTTCCTTCAAGACAGTTGCAGATACACCTTGCTGACTGATGAGTGCCAACAAACACGAAACCTAGTTCGAAGGCTTTCTGTGGCCGATTGCCTCCAACCATCTAATAACGCAGAGATTTACTTAAGGTGAATTAATAACTCACTTAGTTAAATGTGTAAACTAGCATTTATAATTCATTAAAATGACAGGTCTCATACAGATGACATCAGGAATATTTGCTAAAAGAATGTTAAACAGACACACTACAAAGTGTCCTAGTGGAAGTGCCCTTGTAAAATAAAATAATGAGGCTGCCAGATGTTACATGTAGTGTGAAATTGTTCGTCAGACTTAACTTGGAATGAATGAATGAATGCGGCAGAATGTTTATCTTCTACCTAAGAAACCTATTAGGATTCAAAGAATTGAAGATGTTTTAAGCTGTAACCCCTTTTAACATATCACCATACCATGAATATATATGTGTAAAACTTGGCCACTGTGGTAGTAAGTAATTCCATATTGGTTTGTTTATTAGATATTATTTCACTGTGTGATATATCTAATAAATAAACTAATATGGAACTATACCATGAAGTTGATTTTGAAAGCAAATAAATGTTTCAGGAACTATACAAAATGTATTTCGAATAGCCTATTTAGAAATAAACTCATCAAACACATTGTAGTTTGGTTTCGGTCCAATCTCATCTAACTTTGTCTACACACATACGGACAACAGTTACACCTCAAACACACACACATCTCCAAATACTTGATAAGGTAGAATGATTCATGACTCACGCCTTGCTCCAGTTACTTAATATACAAACGTTGGTATTCTAAATTCTTGCTTTACCATTACTTGAAGCTATGGTCAACAGATTGAGGAACGTCAGTGAAAAATAATTTGTTGTTGTTAATTCATTGCTAGAGGGAAAAGAACAAGAAGTTCAGCAAAGATAATTTTGCAGCGATTTCATTCTCAAAAGCTGTACAATCGCATTTATATACATAAGTTTACATAGATACAATTATTTTTACTAGTTTGACCACGGATTGATATGAGTTAAAGAAACAGTGAAAACCAGCCACAGGGAGTACTGGACAGCTGTTTCATCCTAGTCTGGGTATCATCGACAGTACGCACCCACCACTAGGGTTCGAACCCAGCATCTACCGGTTACAAGGCAAGCTGGCTCGTATACCATTCAGCCACTAGAACCCGACTCAGTGGCACGTGCATTCTAACTTCTACCAATTCGTGATTTAGCACGACTAGCACCAACCAATGTCATCGGTGGGAAATCCATCCTCACACTTTGTTATTTATTTAATGCCACATAGTGACGAAGGTGACTAAGAGTCATAATAGTGTTCAACTTGATATGAAAGTTCGTTGTTATACACAGACTATTTGAGATAATTAACAGATTGTCATTCTATTGTCAAGTGAATTAACACTTTTCATTTCATTAATATTGTAAACATTTACACGAGCTTGCATTGTAACCGGAAGGTTCTGAATTCGAAATCCACTGGGTGTGTACTGCCAATGGGTCCCAAACTAGGATGAAATAGCTGTCCAGTACCCCTAAGTTTTCCAGTGGTTCTCTAACTGATATCAATCCGTCGTCTAACGCGAAACATTGATTAATTAATTGTCGTACATTGCTCACCTTACATTACCTATTCTTATTTCTTAAATAGGTACCAAACTTGATCGTACGGAAAGTCAAGTGGATCATTTATCTGAGTAAGTGTCTAACTTTAAGTTCATTTACACTACTTCAGTTAGTTAACGAATTGAAAGCTTATTTGAACCATCACTATTGATGAACAGATGTCGTAGCAGAACAGCAAGAAATAAAACCCAATAAATCTTAGCAGTATTAATTTCACTATTAACCATAGCAGTGCAAACATTTAAAATAACGACTGTGGAAATTTCATAATTTATTTTTTGTGACTCATATGGAGCAGTGACATCGAAAGCATTCCCCTGATCCACCAATTTATGTTTTGTTTAGAGAAGGAAAGGTGATATGTACTGTTTGTCGTTAAAATAAGGAGTGCAGTCTATAAGCGACATGGGAGTACGTATTTTACTTCACAAGCAATACATTTTCCAGTGGATTGTGAGCAACTTTAACGCTCGAATGTACAACTCGCTTGTTGAATTTCAGCTGTCTTAAATGGTTGGAGGCAATCGACAGGAATCCTTGGACCTAGGTTTCGTACTAGTCAGGCGTATCCGCAACTGCCTTGAAGGAACTCATGTTCCTTCTACCCCTTGCTGACTGGTGAGTGCCAACTAGCATAAAATCTAGGTCAGGCAAGGCTTCCTACCGATTGCCTCTAACCATCTGATATGAACAATTCAGAGTACACCGTGAAGACAAGCCACCTAGTCCACTGGCCACATTGCAAATTTAACTGATAGAATTCGATGTGCAGTAAACAAAGTACTGGACATATTACACTAGTTACTGACTAATGTCCAATTAGAATTTCAATTGTATTTACTATATTGTTTAGTAGAGACAATATAAAACAATTATTATTATTATATTATTGTTCCCTTCGGTTCCTAGTGGAACATAGGACTTCAACTACACGTCTCCACTTGCTTCTGTCTTGTGCTGTACTTTTCACTTGCGTCCATGTTATTCCATACTGTTTCATCTCCTCCTCACACGATCTCCTCCATGTCACCCTTGGACGTCCCACTCGCCGCTTCCCTTTCGGGTTCCACTCGAGCGATGGCCTGACGCGCGATGTCACCCAGCGGCCTCCTCAGCGAGTGTCCAATCCATCTTCACTTTCTCCTGCATATTTGTTGAGCGATTGGTTCTTGTTTTGTTTCTTCCCATAGTTTCTTGTTGGTGATTCTTTCCGGCCATCTGACCTTCAGTATAGAGCGAAGACAGTTGTTGATAAAGGTCTGCAACAGGCTGTTGAAAATATTCTTGGTGACACACTGGCCAAGTTTCTGATCCGTATGGAAGAACTGACTTGACGTTTGTATTGCAAATCTGAATTTTGTTGTTGATGGTGAGTGACGAAGACTTCCAGATTGGTTTCAGGTTGATGAATGTGTTGCTCGCCTTCCCGATTCTCGATTTGACATCCTCGTCCGTTCCTCCTGTGGTTGAGACAATGCTCCCCAGATAAGTGAAAGAAATAACCTCTTTCAAATCCCTCCCGTTGATGGTGATTGGCACTGGATGTTGCTGCTGTTGTTGGTTGGTTATTTTCATAACCTCCGTCTTGTCTATGTTCACCTGGAGTCCTGTTTTCTCTGGCTGCTTCTTCGACTAGTTTGTCGGTTTTCGCTTGTAAGTCTTCGATTTTGTGTGACATCAAACATAAATCATCCGCAAAATCCAGGTCTTCTAGGTTCTTCACGTCGGTGCAGGATATCCCTGTCTTCTCGTTTCCCACTGTCTGACGCATAATCCAGTCCACCACAATTAGGAATATCATTGGTGATAATAAACACCCTTGTCTGACTCCTTTGTTTACTCCAAACGCTTCTCTGAGTTTTCCGTTGTGGATCACTTGACATGTGCCGTTGTCGTACAGTTGTTGAATAAGGTTGATGGATATTTGGGGTACGCCGTAGTACTCGAGTAGTTTCCAAATTACTTCGCGGTCAACGCTGTCGAAGGCCTTCTCAAAGTCTATGAAGTTGAGGTAGAGGTTTGATTGCCATTCCATGCTTTGTCGTCGATGATGATGCGTAGAGTTGCAATTTGGTCAGAACATGATTTGCCTTTCCTGAATCCAGCTTGTTCTGGTCGGAGTTCTGTATCCAGTGCGTCCTTGATTCTCTCCAGGATGATGCGACTCAGGATTTTACTTGGCGTCGACAGGAGCATGATTCCTCGCCAGTTCTTGCAGAGTCCCAGGTCGCCCTTCTTTGGTAGTTTCACCAGGTTACCTTTCCTCCAGTCAGTAGGCACCTTTCCCTCTTTCCAGATCTTTTGCAATAATGGAGTCAGCATATCTGCCGTCGTTTCTGGGTCCGCTTTCAGTGCTTCCGGGGGTATTCCATCTGGTCCAGCTGCTTTTCCAGTTTTCAGAAGCTTGATTGCATTCATGACTTCAGTTTTCGTTGGAGGATTGGTGTCAACTTGCAGTTGTGTACGTGCTGTTATTGGTATTACTGGACGGGTTGTAGGTGGTGGTCGATTCAAGAGTCCTTTGAAGTGGTCCGCCCATTGTTTAATCTGTCTTTCTTCCTTGGTAATTGGGTTCCCTTGGCTGTCTTTTATAGGTTTCACTTGTGTTGATCTCTTCCCGGATAGAGACTTGGTTATCTGATATAGTGTCCTCAGGTCCCTTTTGCCTGCTGCCTTCTCAGCTTCAGTAGCCAGGTTGTCGTAGAATTGTCTTTTGTCCTTCCTGGCACTCTTCTTCACTTCTTTGTCCAGTGCTGTGTAAGTTGAGTTCAGCGTCTCTTTCTCTCGTCCATCTTTGCATTGAATCATTTTTTCTTTCACCTTTCTCCTCTCCTCTATTAGTTTCCAAGTGTCTGTTGAGAGCCATTCCTTGTCTTGTTTCTTCTTTCTTCCTAAAACCGTTGAGCACGTTTCGTTGAAAATTACCTTCAGAGAGTTCCAATGGTCTTCCACGGATGATTCCTCAGTGGTGCCACGTAGTGTTTCCTGCTTTGCTCTGACAGTTGCAGTGAAAGTGTCCTTTGTGGTTGTGTCCTTCAGTTTTTGCGTGTTGAACTTGCATTGTGGCCTATCCCCAGGTATCCTCGAGGCTTTCAGCTTCACCTTGAAAGTCCCTTGTACTAGATAGTGGTCTGAACCCACATCTGCTCCTCTCCTCGATCTTGTGTCCAGTAGGCTCCGTCTCCACTTCCTTGAGATTGAAATGAAGTCTATCTGGTTTTTGGTGTGTCCATCTGGTGAAATCCATGTTACCGTGTGTATATCCCTGTGTTTGAACACACCGCCACCAATCACCAAATCATTGAAGGCGCAGAAGTCTGAGAAGAGTTCGCCATTTTCGTTCATTTCACCGAGGGCCTCACGACCCATGGTGAGTTCTCTTCCTGTATTGTCTCCTCCCAGTTTCGCATTCATGTCACCCATCAGGATTTTGATATCGCTCTTTGGGACGTTGTCCATTACTGTTTGTCGTTGACTGTAGAAATCCTCCTTCTTCTCATGTTCTGAGGCGTTTGTAGGCGCGTAGCACTGAATGATTGTAACCTTTTTTCCTTTTGAGTTGAACCTGGCTGTCATTATCCTGGAGGAGATTGGTTCCCACTGCATGAGAGCTTTAGCCGCTGTTGGTGACATCATGATGGCTACTCCCTCGGTGTGCTCGTGATTGTCCTCTGGGTGACCGGAGTAGATTATTGTCTCTCCAGTTGATAGTTGGCTCCTTCCACATCCGTTCCATCTGCTCTCGCAGATTCCCAACACTTCTATTTTATATCTCCTCATTTCTGCGGCTACCTGAGCAGCCTTTCCAGCTTCGTACATTGTACGAACATTCCACGTCCCCATCCTTATTTTCGCTTTCATCGAAAGAAGGCACATTGGCTGACTGGCTTCCCGAAGGCTTTCACCAGCCCGCGTCATTTCACTTCCCCGATTCCAGCGAGAAATAAGGTCATTGTTTGTATTTTTAGAATTTTTAATATATTTGTGCGTTGAAGTTTTAGTAGCAATTTGGTTAAGTTTTGGGGGTGGAGTTGCTAGCACCACGCCCCAACCCTCCCTCTTTATCCGGGCTTGGGACCGGCTAGAATACTAGTGACCTAGTAATCTAGGCGAGGTTAATATAAAACAATGCTTAATACTAATTATATATCATTGAACTTTGATTTTTATTGTATTAGATTACATTCTCAAAATCTAAGTAAGTTCCTGTGTAAATATTATACCTTTTAATTATTCGTATCTTGCATTTAATCATATGTTTTTGAATAAATTCAGTAACAAGTAGGTTTATTAGACTTCGTATTAATAAATTGAACTGAAGTAAATTATCAACCTGGAACTTTGCACAAATATGAAGCAGTTCAAGTTGCTACACTGAATGAAGCACATAGTATAGAAGTATAGAAAAGAAATGCAATGAAACTGTGATAAACAAAACTCTATGGGATAAATGATAACTGGTTTGAGGATTTCATCATGAGCTGCTATCAGTTAGAAAACTATTGGAAAACCCGAGAGTATTGGACACCAACCGGGGTTCCATCCCAGGACGTAAACGACTAAGCCGCCGGGACCTGATCCAATGGCCCATGAATTCCAACTTCTGCTAATTCATGACATAGCGCAACCACTTCTCAATGTCTTCTTCGATGGGTTACTGCCTCACCTTCCACCTGCTGTACCCTCCTAGTCACAGCTTCCCACCAGAACCCCAGGTAACTGCCTGAATAGGCTAGTCGAGCTTGCCTTGTAACCTGGAAGGTCCTGCGTTTGAACCCCGATGCGTACTACTAAAGGTTCCCAAATCGGCACGAAACAGCTATCCAGTACTCCTAGGTTTTCCAATGATCCTCCAGATGATGTCAGCTTATGATGAAATCCTCCAACCAATCAAACAAAATCCCTACAAGACCAGTACTTGAAAAACAAATGATAATTGTAAATGGAGAGTGATGAGGATTTTATGAACCTTCAACTTAACAAAAATTGAACATGTCTGAGCCATTGACAACGACTTTGAGCTAACAATCTTAAGCCAATGATTCTTAGCCTCTCGAAGACTCCAGCCAGGCAGTCCATACCAGTCTGCGTGGCTTAGTCAAAGACTTCATGGATCCGTACTATTTTCGCCTCATCACCCTTAACTCTTTCCCAGCCTAATGCTATGTCAGTAAACATTTCTGGAGGCGGAAGGTGATAACTCGGAATGTGTAAAACATATCCTAGACATCTCAGTTGACGCAGTTTTCACAACTTCGTTGGTAAACTAATTACCCAAAGCAAGAAGTTGAAAAGAGACGCCTAAAGTCAAAAACTTCTGCTTTCTTCATATCAAATATAAACGTTCATGTCTCAAAGACGTAAAGAGGAACGGAATGAACTACTGCATAGAACACACGTCCCTTCATCGGTAGCCGGATATCACACCGATGCCAAAGATGATACAAGTTGTTGACAAATCCTAGACTAGCCTTTTGTATTCATGGTAAGATTCCTCAACAATCAGAAGACTTTGCATTTTGTCAGTGTCTCCACTTAGACAGACTATAGCATTCGCATATTCTAAATCGACGGAATTGCTCCCCGGTAACAAGTTAATCCTTGTGACGTCGAAGTCGGCTAGGGTCACCTGAAGCAATACATGTATAACTGAATTAAGTAAATAAGAAAATAGATGACAACTCTCCATAAATTCTTACATACCTGCATGTTTGCAAGTGGTGTCTTGATTAAGAGAATATACTTTCGTGTCAATTCTTTCACGGTCAAACTATTTTGAATCAAATCCCTGGTATCACTTTGTGATCATCCACACAGTCAGCTGACGAGTGGCCCGTGAGATGAAACTACGACACAAATCGCAGAAAAGCAAATTTCAGAACTACTTCTAGGCATGCGTGTTTATGCCAACATAGACCAATAATGGGAGATTACAAATATAAATGAATCCAATTAGCTTTATCGTACGTACTCTATTCCGACTGAGGACTTGTGATGACAAATTCAATAAGAATCGTTTGGGGTTTTAGGAATAACAACTAGAGGTGTAACAACAGAAGACAAGGGCCAGGCAACAGACCTTTTATTAAGGAAAATCAACACATATTTATAGATTTTAATGTACATTATTGTAGATTATTGTTAGTAGAAAATACAGTCTTTTGATTGGTGGTTTCTCACAGAAAGTTAACCTTGCATCTCTTTGTGGCTATGTCAGATCATCCATATGTTAACTGTATCCGCCTACACAAATTCTGCTGTCCATCTTTGACCTTGTTTTCACATGACTAATATTTGAGACATAAAAATTGACTTCAATTACTGTCTACCAACTTTGGCTAGCAGCCAGCTCTCACCACAGGGGTAGCTATTGACGCATCTAATAATGTATTGATACCAGAAGATAAATGAATGATTCTGACACCCACTTGATTTTATAAAGTACAGACTTGTATTTAAACAAAAGTAATTGAAGTTCAGTAGTTTTCCTGATCATGTAGTTTAGTCTCTGAACACCACTTCAAGTATGTTCCTTAGACAAAAAGAAAAATCACAAATTTTAGTAGAATGCATTAACAATAAATTTTATTTGGAATTTTTGAATCATCAGGTTTATACAAAAAGATTGATTCTTTATCCTCGAGCATAGCAGTGACTAACGATGAAAATTAATTCATTAAGATTACCATAATTCTAATTCAACTGTTGGATGGTGACTAGCAGTGGAATCCAGGATGCGCGTTTCGTCCTATTTGGGACTCGTCATCTGGATGTGCTGGAAAATCTAAAATAAAATAATTAATATGACCCGTTGCACAAGAGGTTGCACAAGTGGTCTAGTGGATAACGCTTTGGTGTTTGAAAAACTATGGACACTGGGTTCGAGCCTCAGTGGTGGGAACATCATCACTCACTGCGGAATGCAGGTACATCCAGCTGGTGGACGATTCCCAAACAGGACGAAATGCGCGTTATCCTGGCTGGATTCCACTGCTAGTCACCATCCACCAGTTAACTTCGAATTACATGCCAAGACATCGTCGAAGCATCTGCACAAGAAGCCGAAATGTCAACCTGAGACCGAGCACTTAGGTCCAATCAGTCGACGGGAATATCTGAAATTCAATTAAATTACCATAATTCTGTTCAAATATGAAATCAAATCTAATCTTCTGAAACCTTCTATTAGAGTTTTCTATTTTAGTTAGCTTCAAATTCACGAGAACCTGAAGACTATTCGTAGTTGAAAACATAACAGGTTAAAAGGAGAAATGTATTTCTTTTCACTTAGTTCTTTATCGATGGATCTACACTTATATATATATATATATATATATATATAGAGAGAGAGAGAGAGAGTAAAGAATCGACACCAAAGTCAAACGACCTTGAGCCAACCAGTCAGGTCGCTCAGCACTACAAATGGATGCTTTTCATAGTCTTCGTTGCAAGATTCACTCTAACCTTAACGATAAACCTACCTTAACCCTGAATCAGGATGAAACTTGAGCGATCTAATTGGGTGACTCAAGGTCGTTTGACTTTGGTGTCGATTCTTTACTGTTGCCATATGTATATATATATATATATATTAGTGTAGAGTCGCTGATGAGGAACTAATTGTAAAAAAGGAATGCACTCCTTCGCTTAACTTGTCGTTTTTCTTAAAGTGTAAATAGAAATTTTTAAATAATTCGCAGTCAGTTGATAGAATACAAGTAAACGAAGAACCAGAAATTAGAATGAAAGTAGTTTGTTAGTCTATTTCATGAAAAACATTATGTCTCCGATATATGAAACGCTGACCTTCTGTTCAGTATCTGCAGATTGGTTCGATGATGTGAGACATTAAATCGCTATAAGTCAATATCCTAAATACTAATTATGGGGTAACTGAATATACTTTCACCAAGCACGAATTTTAACTAAATGAAGTATTAACTGAGTGATCTTTAGTGTCCAAACGCTACCTTAGAAAGTTGTTTGCGATCTAAGTTTCAGTTATCGCTAGCTATATCTATCTGCCACCGTGTCATTTACTTCGTAGTGCTACTACTAGTACTGTAACAACAGAAGGCAAGACACGGAAGCCGAATTATATTTTTCATTGATCAAACCGCTGTTTATATATCTATACAGTTTTATATTCTTTAACCAATCACTGAGCGTGTGATTTCGGTTTATATCAAAAGACAAGAAACAGAATGTCCAAATATTCATAGTAATCTGTTGCCAATGCAGTATTGAACTGTGGGAATAACATTCCAACTCTAACATTATTAAACAGAATGTTCAAATAGATATATATGGTATTCTATTGTTGTCGCCGAATTGAACTGTGAGAACATGTGAGAATAATATTCCGTTGGCACACATTGTCTGTATCACACCGCCACAAAACTACCTTCAGTTATTAATTATACAACTTATCATAACTGTGAAGGAACCTGAAAGAAACAACCACCTTTACCTACTTGGGAAGCATCGTTTCAACTACAGGCCGACGGAACTGACGGAGATAGCAAAGCAAGGATTGGGAAAGCAAGACAAGCTTTCACTACTCTCAAGTCTGTGTGGAGGTTAACAGCACTCAGTATCAAAAATAAGATCCGGATTTTCAACTCCAATGTAAAGTCAGTGCTACTCACTATACGGATCAGAGACTTGCACTGCGCATCATAAAGAGCACATCAAATAAACTACAGACCTTTACTAACAGTTGTCTTCGCTCAATAGTCAAGATCAGATGGCCAGAAACGATCAGCAATAGGAACCTGTGGAAGCAAACCAACCAGGAACCGATTGTGAAACAAATAGGCATGAAGAAATGGAGGTGGATTGGCCATACTCTCAGGAAACAAAGCATCAAGTGACATCACTAGACAAGCCATTGCTCGAGTGGAACCCGAAAGGGAAGCGGCGAGTTGGTCATCAGTGCAAGGGTGACTTGGAGGAGGTCATGTGAAGAGGAGATGAAAGCATGTGGGCAGACTTGGAGCCAGGTGAAGACTCTAGCAGAGAACCGAACGCAATGGAGACGTGTGGCTGAAGTCCTATGTTCCTCTAGGAATTAAAGGAAATAATAACAAATAATAACAACTGTGATGTATAATTTTTGAGTACTGTATTCAACGTATTCTATTGGAAAAGTTCACTTACTTCAAATAAAACTTATGTGCACCTTCATGATTTTTGTGTAGAAGGACAAATTCATATAAGGTATTAATTAGTAAGTATTATTTCACCAACAATTTATACCGCTGTTTATGACAATTCATGTTTCTATTTCTCTATGTGAACTATGGAATTCCATTCTGGATACTACTCATTTTTCTTATTCTACTTTTTCTGTCAGACTTATCTGGAGCGCAATGTGAAAGCAGCAGCTTATTGGCACAAGCAGAGAAGAGGTAAAACTTACATTTTCGTCTTAGAATAATTTATACTGTTTGTAATACGTTTTTCATGACCTTAAGGTAATTACTGAATAGAAGATATAAAAAGTATTCATGCAGTACAGAGGTATTTAGTATCGTTGATTGTTCCAGTGTGAATTACAAACTAAATCATTATCAACATTATTATTACTGTTTCCTTTAATTCCTAGAGGAACATAGGACTTCAGCCGCACATCTCCATTGCGTCCGGTTCTCTGCTAGAGTCTTCACCTGGCTCCAAGTCTGCCCACATGCTTTCATCTCCTCTTCACATGAACTCCTCCAAGTCACCCTAGCACCGACGACCAACTCGCCGCTTCCCTTTCGGGTTCCACTCGAGCAATGGCTTGTCTAGTGATGTCACTTGATGCTTTGTTTCCTGAGAGTATGGCCAATCCATCTCCATTTCTTCCTGCCTATTTGTTTCACAATCGGTTCCTGGTTGGTTCGCTCATTGCCAGAGATCTCTGTTGCTGACCTTTTCTGACTGGCCATCTGATCTTGAGTATTGAGCGAAGACAACTGTTAGTAAAGGTCTGTAGTTTATTTGATGTGCTCTTTATGATGCGCAGTGCAAGTCTCTGATCCGTATAGTGAGTAGCACTGACTTTACATTGGAGTTGAAAATCCGGATCTTATTTTTGATACTGAGTGCTGTTAACCTCCACACAGACTTGAGAGTAGTGAAAGCTTGTCTTGCTTTCCCAATCCTTGCTTTGCTATCTCCGTCAGTTCCGTCGGCCTGTAGTTGAAACGATGCTTCCCAAGTAGGGTAGGTAAAAGAGGTTGTTTCTTTCAGGTTCCTTCCATTTATGCTGATTGTTGTCTGTTGTTATTGATGGTGGTGTTGCCCAGGAATCTTCATCACTATTAGCTACAGGGATTTGTGAGATTTGTAATACATCCAATTTTCAATAAGAGAAAATAAAGCCCATAAAGTAAGATCTTCATCCTTTGACTGTTATTATCTCCTAATCCTTGGACTTACCTTCAACTAAACATTATATTACCGCAAAATTAGATCTCAAAAATCTTATCACCATCAAACATGAGAGACTCAGTGGTCCAATTCCTACCATGAGAATAATCTTCCCTACACTTTCATCAGCACACACAGAACCCACCTATATCCAACTTAAACAGAGGGATCCACTCGACAATTACAGTTGTTCTAAGCAGTACGGTATAAAGTCACACAAAGACTGCAAGTAGAGCTCTGGGAAGATATGCTAGAAAAAACTAAACAGAGTTCAGTTCCAGAACGAAACGGTGCTGATTAGATCCTCACTCTTCGACAAGTTCTAAGCACAGGTGTGTGTCATATTTCTTGGTCTGAAAGTGGTATCCAACCCCACTGACAGAGAGGTTTCGTGGCAATATATGGCTATGGAGGGAATGGTGAGGAAATATTACTTGCTAAACAAAGCATTTCACTGAAGTTTACAGAGATTCGTCGTCTGAAATGACGAACCAACCGTGCCTACCCAATGTGTTCAGTGTCACTAATTTTATATTCATTAGAAACTCACTGATGGATACGACCTTTTTAATTTCAACGTCTCAAAAATTGACTTTCCATTAGGGCGATGTCTAATTGACCTACAGGCCACAGACGATCTGACCGTATTGGAAGCAGACAGCCGGGAAATGCAAAGTATTCTAAACACCATTCGAAAGTATGTCACTGGCATTCGCTTCATTACCGACAACCAGTTTATGCCACATCACTTACTGTGGGAGTTGCATCAGCCCTTAATTGATTTGTTCCTAGAGAAATCTTAGCATGAATACAAAAGGCTCACTTGAGATTTGGGGAGTTACCTGGTCTATAGCTTTGGCAAAATATTTGGCCACTCATCAAACAACGTCCATATATTCCTGTTTACAACAAACGGGTTATATATCTTCGAACAAGAACACCATACATAAATGTTTGGATGTGGACCATTTAAGTGACTGCTGTTACTTTCATTTCATCATATACACATAAGATTCGTCTAACGGTGTCATTGAATCTGTTTTTGTTATGTGCAATGTCAAGCTGTGGTCAAGGCATTGAAATTTCGACTAGTACTAAACTTCATTGCACACATGAAAATCACAATAGCATGTATTATACTACTAGCTGTAATCCAAAAAGGTTTTTCTCATTGCTATCATTTCAAACATGAACATGGTTTCCTATCGCTGCAATAGTTACTTTTTCGTTCAGCGTTTATCGTATTCCAAAACTGTCGCAGGTAAAAAGCAATTACTATTATCATTGATTTCATCATGAGCTGATATTGGTTAGTGGAAAGTCGTGACCAGTAGGGTGCAGCAGGTCGGGTGTGAGAACAAATACTCGCCGAAGACATTGGCTAGTGGTTGCGCTATATCGTGAATTGGCAGAAGTTAGAATTCATGGACTGGCCATTGAATCGGGTCACAGTGGCTTAATGGTCTATGAGCTCGCCTTGTAACCGGAAGGTCCTGGGTTCGAGCCCCGATGGATGCTGTCAAGGAACTTAGCCCTAAGTTCCTATTGTAATGAAGACTTAAGCGATTGAACCGATAAATACTATGCACGTTCTTCAACTTTAAATCCAAAACACCAGTATTCCTTGAACGAAATTATATTGTTTGGCAATTAAAGTGAAGAAAACTACAAAGTCTATAAACAAATGTTAAGTACAAATGAAGTTATAAAGTACTTTTATTCGTATTTAACTCCAGTCTTCCTTCAACTTGCAAGCGATCGACCATTTGCGCCTTTCAGTTGCCCATTAATGGCTGCCAGATCAAATAAAACAAACGTTCAATGTTCACGTCCATTGACAGATGCGTACTGATGAAGAGTCCCAAATTAGGCTGACGAAGCAGCTGTCCAGTACTCCCAGGTTTTCCAATGGTTCTCTAACCAATGTCAGCTCATGATGAAATCCTGAAACCAATCAATCAAATCCCTACAAACCAATACTTAAATACTATTATCATTATATTTAGAAGCAATACATTTATTTAGGAGTTATAAATGTGTCTTCTTTTTTTTCTTCAGTGAAGCCGATAACAATGACGTTGGCTGTACAAACTTTGAAGACTATCCTATAGAAGAAGTTAACCGCGCACTACGAGTTGCTAAAGGCAATGTGGAAATCGCTAACGCTATATTACAGGAGTATTGTTTAAAAATAATTAAAAAATAAAAGCGTTTGAAGCATTAAATGACTTTTATATTTGTAAAATGACAAGAAATGACAGAGAGACAGTTGTATCATTGAAGTGTGAAAATTTATGACACATTGTGATAGTCATCGAATACACGCAACTTTGGATGTGGAGATACTTGAAGAAAAAAATTCTCAACACACAACACCGAACAACAAATGCTCACAGCAAAAATACAAGAAGTACTAGGGACTTTGACGTGACGTAATAGGTTTTTTTGTTTTTGGAGGAAATTAACCCAAAATCAGACAGACATAAAATACCATTTTATCATAATTGTCAGGTAATTGTAGGGTTTCCTTATGACCTGTTGGCTGGTGCACCTGAAGCAGCCTGACGAGCTGCAAATAATCCTGCTTCCATTGCTCTATTCCTCACGATAGGATCGGTTACAACACCGTGTGCAAATTCTTCTTTAGCTTTTCCGAAACTAGCACCTGTGCTGCGATATATGCGATGTACCTGAAAGAGGTGTATAGTATACAAACACAAGTGAACAAAAGATTTTACAACTAGTAGTAACAAACGAAACTTTCTTTTATACTGTTTCTAGTGCTGTACTGATAAAACAATGGCTGCTGAACAAGCAGGATACTTGAAATTATCTGAAGTTAGAGGCGCTTTTAATGATCTCCATTATAAAACTAATCTTGCTAATCTAAAGAAGTATCTTGTTCGTAAAAATAAAAGATTCTAACATTAAAAATTAGTTTGCATTCCACTGGAGTTTTTCTTTAGATAGCTTTTAAAATGATCTAATTCTAATGTGATTTTTCGAAGAAAAACAACACAACCCTATTTAACTATTACTGTAGTTATTATATCTTAAGTATATCTTAAGTACTGAACAATTTTTGATAAATTTGCAGACGGTAGTGATAATCACTATGGTTCCTAGTCCGACTAAAAGCATATTTGCTTCAGAAGTCAGACTCTCCTCTTTCGTATGACTTCAAAATGGTGTATACTATACAAGAACCCAATTTAACCAACTCTCACATTCCTGTAGAATTGTTTCCAAATGGAACTTGTCTTCAAATTAGCAGGAGCAGTAAGATATTTCTTCCATATGCATTCTTAAGCATCTTAATGATAATATTATCATGAGGTGACATCGGTTAGAGAACCATTGGAAAACCAGCTGGGAGTACTGGACAGCTGCTTCGTCAGCCCAATTTGGGACTCTTCAGTAGTACACACCCACCGCGTTCGAACCCAGGACCTTCTGGTCACAAGGCTAGCGAGCTCGTAGACCATTAAGCCATTCACTGGGACCCACCCAATCCAATGTCCAGTCCATGAATTCCAACTTCTGCCAATTCACAACATAGCACGACCTCCAGCCAATGTCTTCGACGAGTATTTGTCCTCACGCCCAACCTTCTGTACCTTACTGGTTACGAATTCTCACTAGAACCTATCTGAATAGGGCCAGTCGCTAGTGAGCATATCATTGACATTCAAGTATTTCAGCTCATGAGCTGAAATCTTGTAACCCGTCAGTCAAATCCTTACCAACCAATACTTGGATAATAATATTAATAACCTTATAACACTGTTTATAATCTGGTTCCGACCACAAAATTCAGAAGGAAGTCTGTAGTCTCCAACTTGGAGAATTTTTAAGATAAAAAATTTTAAAATAGGACTTACATGTATTAAGTACCAAGCCGACGCTGTGGTAACAGCTGTGAACGCGCATGCAACCAGGAGTGTGATGACACCAATCACCGGAGTTTGTTTGACCACTGACAAACCCGTAATCCATCCGCTAAAATACAAAAACATTCAATAACACTTTGGGACCATGTAAATTAGTAAGAAAGTGACTATGACTAAGACGAAGCTTATCATGCTCTATAGAAAGCGTGTCAGTAGTCCGGTGGTGAAATACTCGTCAGTCACAAGGAATGTCCAGGTTCGACTTCTCACTGATACACCTAATGCTTGCCTAATTTATTAGCCAGTAGTCAGCGACTGAACTTGGTAAAGACAATACCAGCGCTACTGAAACTTGAAGCCCTACATTTCATTAGTGATACAAGGAGTGAAAAGAAAATGGTAGAAATGATATTCCGCTGAAACTCCAAAATATGTAAAATGATACTACGGTTTAGAGTGGAGCACTCATTGAATTGGAGCAGAAAAATTTCAACCGTAGAAATACAAAAACAACAGGACTTACCATGAACCCCAGTTTAAAATTCCAATTGACTGAATTATCATCACCAATATTTGGATGCCGAAAATAATGAAGAATACGAAGAAATTGATTGAACTGTTGCTCCTGTTATATAAGCAATAAGAAAGATTATCGGTTAGTCTGCAGGCTTTTTTAAAACAATCAAGATATTGAGAAATAAATGAATTTATTGGCTTCCGATTACAGTGGTGCTGTATGATGAGAAACTGCATACAAAAGACAAATGTACTTGTGTCTGTTATTAGTGCTATCAACATAAATGTAAGCATGATTTGTTTCGGACAGGTTATTTTGATTTTTCATTCGATTAACAGATTACATACTGAAAACACTTACATTTACTCAATTATAGGACAGAAAAAGCACTTCACTGCCACGAGATATGGATACAAATACTACCCCCCACCCCTGCACAAATAACATGATTCCCTGCAAATAAGAATTTTCTTTGTGTTGCTTACTTACGAGTATTTTTAAAGGTAAAAATGTTATTCTAAAATAAGCATGATTGAATACTTGAAATACAGTTTATCCTCTAAGCAGCACAGTATCCAGGAGTTAGTTATCACCTGTGCTCGCCAGAGCTGATGTCCCTCCTGGATGCTTAGTTCGAATGACTATTATTCTAGTATAGTCGTTGTATTACGAACGGAAGTAAGAAAGGACTGTCTGCTACACTGACTCTATTTTCATCATCACTGTGGTAAGGTTGTGTGTTTGAACGTAAGCCCTGTAATCACAAAACAAACTTTCTACATCACTCAAATATCACGACATGACAATTTCTGAAGTATAACGCAACTAAGGATTTCAGCCATTTGTACATTTTTCAAACAGCAAACACACACTTGGATCTCGTAAACCTACGTTTTACACCTTTATCTGACTGACTAACTGTTTTCAACGTACAACTTTTCATAGATGTGCAACAGTTCAAATTGCCACACTCCCTCTCCATGCAGCACGAAAAGCAAGAGAAAGTAAAAAGAAACTCAAAACAGAGATAATAAACAGAAATATGCGTGAGGGAAAAAGAATAGTAATATGGAAGGACAATATAGTTTTAATGGATATTATAAATCACAAAGAGTGGATGCATCTGCGCCAGCCATTGAGACCAATTTTGAGCCATATCACCAACTGTCTCCAGGCATTGGTTTTTACCATCCTGAGGACCCCAACCAGGAAGTCTACACCTCCCTACATGGCTGGCTGAAACTAACTGTTGTGGATTTCATTGACTGATGAAGCCACGTTTTGCTTTGACCACCACTGGCTCTTTTCCAACCTGATCCATCCTGTGTGAGCTAACATTGCCCATCGAGTAAGACACCTTTATCTATACATCTTTCGGTTATTAAAATATTTCCCCACAGTCTCCTTAAATATTGTATAAGATAGTACCTAACAGAACAATTTCGCATTCTCTGTTTCTCCTGTTAATGTGCTATAGCAGTCTAATTAGTTTGTGCCAGCCTCTGTCCTCACTAACTTGCTTGTGCAATAGAACCTAACTGCCTGCTCATTAACACTGAAAATATCTGCTTTCCTAGCATTCTGCATATGTGGTCCTATTTTGCCTTATATCGTTTAACCCTTAGACTGGTTTGTGCATTACCATTTATCAGTCATTTTGATTTATCCTGCCGTTTGTGCAGTAAAACGATTTTGACCATACATCATTTTTAGATTGCTATTGCAAGTTGTTGTTCATCCCTTCAGGGCAAACAGTCAAGAGATTTCACCGGATGAAAGTACCACATATAAAGGTTATCATTAATTTGGTTATTGCTTTACCTGTAAGATTGTTTGGAAGAAAATATAATACGCTTCATGTGAAGTATCAAAGTTTTCCTGCTGCGTTGAGTAGGGGGTTCAGCAAGAGTCATTCTTGATTTTTGATTATTTAAGTCGACCCTCACTACTACTGGCAGGATACCCGATTGAATATCTCCGTGAGAATACAACAACCTCTATATAGTTCTAAATTTAATGACCACCACTTGCCCAGGATAGATGACTGCAATAATGAAAGGAACACTCTCAGGAATAATATAACTGGTCTACAGCCATGCTCAATTCGCCTACAATCCAACACCTACCTCAGTGAGATACACATATCGATACCCCATTTGTAACTGTGGTTAGAAGACTGTCTCTAAACTGAAACTAGGCGGAGCACCAGGACCTGATGCAGTCATCACTCTAAAGTTGTCTAAGGACGTTGGTAACAAACTGACTGATATCTGAGTTAACTAAGGTATCACGTAATGTCTGAGAATCAGAGATAGCTCCATCAGACTGCCGTAAGTCACTGATTATCCCGATTTACGAGGAGGAACACAAGTCTTCCTGTGATAATCATACGGGAACAATCGTGACTAATATAGCATCTAAAATTCTAGGACCACTAATCATACGTAGGCTGAGCGGTGCACGACTGAAATCAGGCACGCTCTAGGTCAGCAAAAGGGTGTATCGATCATGTCCAAACACTTCGATAGACTCTAGTACGTACATAGACATAATTAGCGGCGTCCAACACTTGCCATATTTCTTGACCTTTAGGTGGCATTCGACTCCGTTGATCGAGAGGTGCTGCGACAATGTCTGGCCGTGAATAGAGTTGCGAGGAAGCATATCGCACTAATCAAGACACTCTACTCTAACTCACAGCCAGGTAAGGGCTTACAGAGACTTGCCATCTGGAGTGATGACAACCAGTAGTGTCCACCAAGGATGTCTATTGTCCACATTTTTGTTTAGTTTTGTCATTGATATCCTAATCGATATGACCCTAACTAACTTTAGCGACCTAGGGATTGACTCATTACCAGAGAACAGTTTTTTCAACTTCGAGTATGCGAATGTTCTCCTCCTGGGTGAAGACAGTGATAAGACGTAGAGTCTTCTGAACACCTTGAGAAGAAATCTAGAAATGTTGGGCATACTTTACGCCCCTATCAAATGTAAAGTGATGTTGCAAGGTTGGTTTGCATTGACTCCCAGTTTACAGATAGAGGGTAAATTGGTTGGGCATACTAACCACCTTATTTACTTGGGAAGTTGCCCTTATGGACTGACTGCTCACAAAATCGCAGCACACACACAAAAGGCTCGCGTAGCATTTCCAAAATTACATAATCTCTGGAGCAGACGTGATATCCACCTATCCAACACAGCATGTGTGTACTGAGCATTACTTCGCCCTATCTTTGTATATGGCTACGATAAATAGCTACTGAAAGGGGGTGATATGGAAGGGCTAGTTGTCTTCGACTACAGATCTTCTCATCCTATTCCCCGTGTTAAGTGCTACAATATGGCGAGCAACACTAAGGGTAAGAGTTGAGTGTTAGGTAAGGAGAGTAATTCAACAGATGAAGACGCTGGGAAGCTACATTGATAGAAATGACGAGGACACCTGTTAGGTATATCGCACCGCCACCTTTTTCGACAAATAATGTTGGCTGATATGGGATTAAGTTGGGAAAGAGTTAAGGGCAGTTATACCAGAATGTGGAATCAATCAATTAAGTCCTTGAGAGTTAGTTTTAGCCATGTACGGAGGTGTAGACTGCCTGATGGGGATCACCGGGATGCTAAGAACCAATGGCTTGAGACTTTTGGTTGTATGGCTCGAAATCGTTCACTCTTTGTGATCCCTCATATCTACTAAACCATCATGTTTTCGCATGTTAATATTATTTCTCACGTATATTTCTGCTCATTATAATTCTTTAAAATTCCTTGTTTTTTTTCTTTACCTGAGTGGTACTTAAAGTCTAGCAACTTGAACTGATGTGCTCTTGCACAAAGTTCTACGCCGAAAATCAGTTACTCACACTAACAAACTTTTCTAACATTTTAACACAACAAGAACAGCATCACAATCAACATTACAATATATGAAGTCCACCATCAGACCAAGATATTTTCTGTAGTCAGTAGAAGTGAATTAGGCACAAAAGTGTATTGGTTTGAGCTAGGACGTTCGACAAGACAAACATAGAGTCCCGACAGGTAACAAAATAAACGGAGAGTTTCAAATAAAACATTTAATTCTGTTGTGTGAAATTTCAGGAACTAGTCATGTTCCTATGCTCGAGAGTCGAACGTCTTTCAAGTTAACCAGTTCAGAATAGCAATCCCTGTCTCCGCAATTGGATAACAATTCTTGAACCGGCCACTGCTGACATTTAACTACCTTATCCCCCCCCCACTTTGATTAAAAGCACTTCCCGGTGACAGCGTCGCACAGTACGTCGTAGTCGCTACGGTGAAAATTAGGCCGACAAGAATATCGATTCTATTTTTCTACCCCAGATCGCAATAGTAATCCATATGACGCGAAGTATAGAAACAACAGAATTAAATATAGCTGAGATGGTCTCTCTCCCACAGAAAATTAAGTGTCAACTAGTTTCAAAAACACCAGAACTTACCGGAAAGCTTTGTATAGTGGTCTAAACCAACATACATATGATGCTGGTATACAAACTATGCATACTAGAATAGCAACACCGAACAGGCTACCACCAGAAGCTTCTGAAGTTCCAGCGAAGAATATTAATGCTGTTAACAAGTTGACCAGCAGCAAACAGGCGTACGACATCCATAGGTAATATCCAAACTTCACAACTTTTTTGTATTCAGGAACTATTTCTGTTTCAATATTTTGATAAAAGCATGGGGCACAGGGGCAAAATGATGGCAGTGGAGGCCAATTCTTAGCTGCAACTCCTATCATGAAACAAAAGCAAATTGACAGATGTTCAACTGATCATAACAACAATAAAAATCAATAATAATCTGCCACATTAAAACACGAACATTAAGAAGAAATTGTTATAGAGACCACACAAATATATACGTATACACGTTTGTGAGTAGTCATGTATTTCTAAACAAATTGTATGCGACCCGGTATTATTGAGCAGGGAGAGGACTATTGCGCAAACGGAGACAATTCATACATCTCTGTATTATTGTCCATTGATCAGATCAGATTTTTGCGATTTAAGTGGTGATTCACTCATAAAAATGCATTCAGATGAACTACGTAAATTATCCCTATCCGATCAAATAAGTCAATAAAATTCGGTCTAGTGAATAAACTCGTACTCAGTCAATAGGGCGCAGAATTTATTACCACCTAAAAGGTACACAATCTAAATACAAAGAAACAAAATAATGTATAAAGTGCGTATACTGTTACACAAAATCTTAATTCAGCACACAATGCATTCGTTAGTGTCCCAATTAAGCCTAATTCGTAAGTTAAAACGGGCCTAGCTGGAAACCAACCTACAGGACTGGTTTTAAAACTAAGTAGAAGGTGACGAATAAGGACGTGGAGCACTTTCTGTGTTTACACCTGTCTAAAGTGGGATCCCAGAGACACCAATCTAGCTGCTTTGCTATTCCTACTGCCTGGGTAGGGTCCTCGGGATGTTAAGAGCCAATGGCTTCAAGCTGTTGGTAATAGGGTCCAAGATCGTTCACTCCTTTTAATCTTCCATATCCAATAAACCATTATGTTTCTTCATTTTACTATTGTTATTTCCATACAGTTTTCCTCACGATAGTTCTTTTGGATCTTTTCTCTACTGTTGTGTGTCACGCAGAGTTTAGTACCTTGAAATACTGCACTTTTGTGAAAAGTTCTAAAATTCTAAATGTATCTTCATTATTACCAGCAGATACTGTTCAGATTAGGAGGATTATTAATAATACTACCGATAGATTGGCTCTGCACAACAATTTAGACAAGCCATTTAGGTGATCTTATCGTCAGGATCTGGAAGTTAATCCCAGAGAAAGTGTAGTATTGCATTTGGGGCAGAGATCTTACTCAATATACTTGCAGAGGGGAATACGATCGCCTGACACTAGAGAGCAGAATTTAAGATCTGATTTGAAAACACCTGCACATTTTAATACAGCCACAAACAAAGATTTCTGACTACCGTGAGCGATTCGGAGGATGGTTTTTAAATGCGTTGATGACATGTTTAAGGCGCTGTACCAACCATACATTGCACTTGGTCTTAGGTTCTGTATACACACTACTAGTCCACGACTCAAGAATAGGACAAAAGTCATGACAACAGCAAAAAGTGTAAGCACTACGCCAGTGAAAGGAATAAGACGAGTGTCGGAACAGGAAGAAAGGTAGACCTCCTCTAACTTATTGTACACGAAATGGTGGGATGTATATTTTCCCTTATAAACTTCCTTTCTTATTATGGATACTTCTAAGAGATCACAATAAAAAGCTGCTCAAGTCATGGGTAAATAAGATGCACGTGAAACTGATGTTCTCATTCGGTGTCAGACGAGTTATTATTAGTTTGATTAAGCAGTATAATCTATGGGTAATACTTTCAGAGGTCGATTCTCACTGATATGTTCCACAAGGATTATTAGTTTTAGCATATCCTTCGTCGGAGAAGATTGATACAAGAAGCTTGAATGATAGAAAACATTTAAGGAAGGTGAAAATCGACAAGTGTACACATATGAACACCACTCAAAAATTACATTAGCAAGACCTCTTCACAATTCGAGAAATAAGCATCTGAGAAGAAAAAGTCCAATCCACTTAGCCAAGATTTTGGCGGCTTTAAGTACAAGCGTCAGGGAGCATCACAAATGAAACTAACTGAAACACCATAAAACTGTACCAGCAAACATAGTCACTGGAACTGGAGAAAAGTGAATATATTAATAAGACACAAAAGCTTTGACGACGCATAAAACATATACCATTCATGAAGAATAATCGCAAACCTTCTTGAGATGCAAACCGACTCTGCTCCTTTAATCGTTGCTCCTCCTCTCTACGAGCTAGTTCGGCAGCCTTGGCATCCAACTCTCTCTGGCGGCGTTCAAGCTCAGCAGTCGTGATTCTCTGCGCCTGAGTGGCGGAGTATGACGGTGGTGCAGTGAAATTAGTCAGGTGTTCATCTTGCTGAAGATTTCCGGTGACTTCAAATGGGTTATATTTGTCTAGTGCACCAGTGTCGATATGAGGAACTTGAGCGTTTTCATTATCACGCGACTGTGTCTAATAAGCACGATTATACATCTAACACATCAACAAACCGATGTCAACTTGGTAACAGGATCAGCAAACGGATTTTCCATCCCCTAGAAGTCGACTACGTTGGATATAGCGCAAGGTCATTCACAACCTAAAATTGCTCCAGTTGATCAATAGTTCATTGGAAGTTTTTTAAGGCAATTTGGAAATGCTACCTTAGGTCGACAAATTCCCCGTCTAACTGAAATTTTAATCTTCAATCAAGGAGTAGTTGTGACTTTTAGTACTTTTTGTGGGTCTCATCCCGTCTTTTAGTCTAGTATTTTCACTGAACAAATTCAGTTATATTTTATGTTCTGTGAAGCGACTTCGAAAAACAATATTCGTGCTTTCATCAGTAGTCCGTTATTGTGTAGGCAGGATTACTAATTTTACAAGCCCTGACTTTCAAGATAACACCTTATAATAAAACGATATATGTGATGAATATCATGTCCCAAAGACAAGTGGATTTCCTACATGACCACATAGGTGGGTGACTCTCTAGCCTGGCCTCTCCTAATTCGCTAGCAGACCTGTCCAATTAATGAAGAAATAATATTTAGCGAATCCCTTATTTAAGGATACATTCAAGTGGATGCGATAATGGGGAATCAAGGGATACTTAGCAACCACGCAACAACTACGGTTTCGTTCTTTCAACCCCCAGTTTTCAGTAACCACTTCCTCTTAATTCTATTAGAATGGAAAAAACGCAACGAAAACGAACTGTCCCAGACTTCGTCATTTTAATGGGTTTCTCTGAGCCCCCTGGAGTGTGATGGCTCATATTTAGACGACAGATAATTCACAGAATGTAGTCCAATCCAATATCTAGTATCGTTTACACGGGCTAGTATAAACCAATTTGATTTCTGCGTGCTCGCCTCTTGATTGTGAGGTAAAGGTTCCTGATCTCCGGTAAACTTCTACGTAGTTCGTTCGCCACTCAGCTGTAATAGCTTCGGTTGGCTCCAAAACGAGTAGTGCTGTGGTTAATTATATGTTGTTTATAGTGTTCGGTGTGTTGAGACTGTGCTGCTACTGTGAGTGGAGTTGTTCCTTTCACTAGTTAGTCCTCCGGTATCGTCGTCAAAAGAAAAGAGATAATTATGATAACAGATATAATAAGCGTAGGTTATTCAGACTAAAAGACGGAAAAAGAAATAAAGAAAACGTAAAAATGACAGCCAATTAAATTTGATGTTGATATATGCACATATATAAATATATATGTATATAATATCATTAATAATTATGATAATAACAAATGTAAGTGTAGGAGTTGCAGTAGTCAGAAGAGTAAGACGGAAGAGAATGTAAAGAAGTAAAACGATGAATCTAGTTGTCTACGCTTGAAAGGTGTATGGGATTTATTGAAAAAGCATGGGAGGGAGTCGACGAAAGGCAATAATCTGTTGAAAATACAATTTGTGTTGGAGTAAGAGAGATAATGAGTTTAAAAGTCGAAAAAATGGGATGTTCGAAAAAATGATGTCCCGTCCTCTTATTTTCACACACGAGTTCTTCAGAGTTTTGCGAATGCTTTTTTAGGCGCTACCGAATAGTCAGTTTAACGTAAAGGACTCTGCTATTTCAGGTAGACTTTCAAGGATTGATTGGTTAAAAGTCTGGCGTGAGCTATAGTTTTCCTTCAGAGTTAAATTTTTAGAAAAGACTACTGACTATGTTCTACCTGTTCACAGATGAATCCTAAGTGTGAACCTATTTCAAATTAAATACCATTGCCGGCGGATATAAAATTTTACCGTTTAAGTATAGGTGTATCACAAATTCCGACCAAATACAGGTGAAATTCGCTTAAATGGCCGAAAATTGACGCAGAACCTCGATTTCGGAATAGTGTGTGAGGAATAGGTATAAAGTAGGACATGTCTAGGATAGCTCAGACAACTGCTGAGACCCGAAGAAGATGGTCTGTTAGCCGCGGATGACTTCACTGGCTCGGTGTTTCATACAGAATAGGCCTACAATAGAAAAGTAACTGGGGAATACGGCAACAAACGATTATTATGAAAGTAGGAAGTACACTCACTTCACTTTAAGTAAGACCAGTGTCCTCTAGTGAACGTCATCTAACGATAAATTACGTCCCTTTCATATGAGTATGATTCTCCGCTTCAATTACCCAATAGCGTGCTTATCACAAACACATTAAACCAAAAACGCAGTCATCTTACTCTATACGTGATAGCGATCGGCTGATTTGTGAATGTGTTAGCATGATATTAGGTCAGTAAATACTGAGTTAAACAAACCATTCGAATATTTACACGTTTTAGGCTGGGATATGACCAATAAGAAGGTAGGCGTAGTGCGAGGACGCCAAAAAATTTATATGATAAACACAAGCGAAAAGCAGATAGCGCACCACGTGAGGACGACGAATTAGCTATAAATCTAGGGAACACTTGCTTTCACTAGCTTTTTCGAACTCTGCAGTTGGAAATTCACCACTGTCAGGATACAATAACAATATAAAGCAAATTAAAATTATATGAAAATTTGTGTTAGGGTACATGTACTTGTTAAATTAGCGGTCTACTCTATATGACTTCCATTTGAAATGTCCAACCATTAGGAGAATAAAGTTGGGGTACATAATTAAGCAACCTTCTTGTATAATGATAATTAATCAGGCGGAAGTGATATTCAATAGTGTGAGGAAAGTCTTAGTACCACAGAAATATGAATAAATAAATGCACTATACCAAATGTAAGTGCGGACGATACTTTATAACTAAAATAATGACAAAATGTAGGCTCTAAAATGGCCCAAGTGGCTTGTACTAGAATGCTCGCCAGACACGCATATGGTCCGGTCTTGGTCTCCAGTCAACTCGCTATTAAACCTTGCTTAGCTGGTAGCGAGCGCGGGAAAGAGGAAAGGTCAGCAATCCCACTGCATAAGAATGCATTACCACTGGCGCAAAAACTAAAGGAGTCAGGAACGAATACAGTAGTAGTCATATAGTGAATTTTAATCAAACAATGGAGACAAGATAAGCTGGGTGTATCCAGAGAGTGGTAGATAATAGCGATAATAGTGGTATGAGGCAGATGAGAACAAACATACACTCTACAAAAAGGAGATGAATAATTAACTGGCAACCTTATGGTAGGACAACAAACGTATAAAGTGTGGGTATGTGGAGGATCAAAGAAGATAGCTAAGTCAGCTGAACCTCAGCCATTTCACCGTCAGAGATCATCTGCTTTATCCGTTCTGACAGAAACATGAGAAAGACAATTTTATTTTCATGCAAGCAGAGCTCGACAGATTCGTGCGGCGTGACTGAGTGTCTCTACACACGTTTCAAATCATAGACAATAAATTCACCTTTCTTTAGCCGCGAGTGTTATATTCTCCCTCCGCTAGTGGGGGCGCTGTTAAGGACAGCTTGGCCACCAGGTTAGGTGAGCCACACTACAGAGTTAGCAGGTAGTGTGGTCAAAGCACCGGTCTAACAGGATAGATGAACTTACAACAGTTGTGGGAGTTATTTCCTGTCGAATCCAACTGGAAGCGAGCTCAAAGTCGTTTGAGCGGTCTAATTGATTGGTTTCTTACAGCTGATGAGCTTGAAGTAATTTGTGATTTACTCATTGCTTTAGTCATAGAATTATGCTCATATGTATTATTGGTTGATGAAATAGAAAATTTAAAGGTGACCTGCCTACCAATTTTGTAAAAGAGTATATATCTGAATGCTTTAGAAAATAAGATGGTATATGATGAAAAAGCACTTCTTAGAGGTCCAGTTCAGGGGTGATGTTTCTAGTGATATGTTTAGGTGCAGGTTAATCAGTTTTACTGAGGGAATGTTTATACTCAGGTTGAACTCCCATCGAAAATCCATCGGTGATACCACAAGAAAAATCATTTTGCCTTAAATATGGAATATCTCTGAAGTAACACAAAGGGTACTAAAACTATTTGAGATACATACAGCACACAAACCAACACAGTCACTTCATTCGGCACCGCGCAGACTACAAGACCCAACACAAAAAGACTAGATGAACACCATCTACAAAGCATATCACATGAGCTGCGCAAACATTATATTAGCAGATGTGAGTGTTCCCTTCGATCCGATATCCGAGACCATAAAATAGCTGTGAAAGGACACCACATGCATTGTCAAAGTAGTTGAAGAAAGAACGATCAATTCATGGTTGTTTGCTCAAACCCAACTCCATATTTTGGCGGGAGTCATCGATACTGCAGTCATCGTTCTATCGTTCGCTGTTTGTTAGAAGACAGAGAAAAACTATCAGAAGTATTATTGTGATTAATTGTTATAACATTTACCCCTAGACGTTGTGTACAATAACCTTGTGGTTGGTTCTGTATTGGCGCAAGAATATAGGATTCTTGAATCGCCAATTTGTGTTCTGGTTTTTCACGTTGTTTATTGATAATAGTTTCCGAAATTCTTCTTAGAATAGCGTTAAGTCCAGGGTAGTTAGACCTGGACATTGACATGCACTCTTCCACATCTACGTATACGGACATCTACGGCTGCAGATTTTGGATACTGCGAACATCACAATTGCCAATGAAGGTCTAGAAGCCTTGTTCTTAGGTCAATCAATGGATAGGAGATATAACTACAGGTCAAATTTACTAACTAAAAAAGATAAATCCAATGACAAAAAAGTTCAGATTTCAAGATCACTAAGAGTTTAAATTGCTAACCACTCACGACATAAGTTGTCAGGATACTTTAGACAAGTCCAGTTCATGCCGAAGCTTTCGCTGAAAATATCGTCTAGAAGGACAACAAAAGTTTCTCAGTTAAATCAGACAGCACAAAGAATACAACCAAATGAAATCGTTCACCTTAGCTTCAAATTTCTTCTATTATTCGAAAGGCTTTTCAGTGCTGCAGAACTAGGCGGAAGTTACTAGAGCAGACCAATACCGACACAGCGCATGAAGAGCAAGTCTACAGTGATGGCCACATCAATATGCGTGTACAAATTTAACTGCTCTTGCAAGGCCGCTTATGTCAATCCTAATCAGGGGGATTCATCTTTAGGCACTCGTGAAAATATTCTAATTTGATTCGGAAAAGTAGCAATCGAATCAATCCATAGTTC